AAATCAGTTATAACGTATGTAGATAATATAAACCAATGGTCATTTGACCCACCTTATGTTCAGCGCCCTCTACTAGAAGCACGCCATGTTCCCCAGTGATGCGGCCAAGAGACTGTCGGACGATTTTAGGCTTCTCAAAGTCATAGACCTTCTGGACCAGTATTTCGCTCAAGGCTTTGGGGGTTGTTGCTATCGTTCGCTCGAGGTTGCCCCCCAAGTAGAACCTGATCAAGCCATCGTTCGGTATTTCTTGGTTCCATCGACGCATCCTGTCATAAGGATTTACCAAGACGAATGTGCCATTGTTTCCGGTGAACCATGCTCGACCCTGCATAGAAGCCACATTAGAGAAGTCTCCATAGTCGGGGAGACCGAGAAGAGAGCTTACCGGAGGAGTTGGTATATGCTTGATCGGGGTGAAGTAGACAGGATAGAGCACCAGGCGGTAGAATATTCTCAGGACGAGGATGACTGCAGAGAGTAGAAGGAAGTCCCGGAATGTCGATCGGAAGTAGGAATATATAGCGATACCGACGTGAATGGTGGTCCACGGTATTCCCGCCATGGTGGGAGCGACCGGATGTCGCTCTAAACTGATGTGATGGACACGTGGGAATGAACCAGAATGCAAACACGCGAACTGACAGCGAGAATGAATGCTAAGGAGGATAAGAATGAGGTGAAAGGACAACTATATATAAACACGGAGCGACAGGCCAAGTACTTAACTACTGTTGCTGTTGGCGGACCAGCCAGCAGTGAAAGTAATAAGACCAGCTTTATATACTAGTACATCGTGAGACAAGTGGATCAACGATCACGAGCCCGGGCTTTTCTGTCTGACCGTTTTGACGAGGCTGCGGCGCGACCCAGCCGGCTGGGGCATTAACGGCACCGGGGACACGAACGGCCGACCAGGTGGATATTAGACCAGCGGCATACCGCGGTGCTTATTCGATGGAACTGAGTTGGTGGATGCCTGGGTGAGTTTCCATAATCAGCAGCCACAGCGAGCGGCTCCCGATGCAACCCGAGTTGGGGGTTAGAAGCAACGAGAGTCAGGAGGTCGGCATCGGGATTTGATGGGCCATGACCCTTGGTGGGAGCCATGGTACTGTGTACATAGTGAAGTATAGACGGACATAAGTAGGGATTAGATTGTCGCAAATTCGGCTGGGAGAGAGAGAGACGTCATAAGGGAGGAAAGCTTAACTAGTACTTAAAGTAACCGTCGCGAGGCTAGAAAATGTTTCATTAGTGAGGCGACACGTGGGTCAGTGCCTCAGGAGCAACTTGCTCAAAAAGTAGTAGTACGTAGTATCTAGGTAAACTCAACCATTTAATTCTCAAGTACCAAGCGACAAGTGAGATGAAGTCGCACCAAGTAAGTGCCGGTGGACTAACATCGCAATTGCCGCTTTGGGAAAGGCGTGTCACCTGCATGACGGCCGCTATTTTTAATCCCCGACCAACGGATGGTCCGCAAGGTTTGCCCAATTCGGAAACCAGCCCCCGTTTCATTCCTTGGAGCCGACATCCCTTGGGTGGGGTTGCTAGTACATATACAGTAGTAGATAGATGGTTGGATGGATATCGCCAAAGCATAGCATGCTCATTATGATTGTGGAACCTTAGTGGACAATAACAGCCAGGCTTACTTATATGCAAACGCCATCTTCATCCCCCATTAACATATCATTATAGTTAGTTCTCCTTGTCCAGCCATCGTCGGCCACATCTATCCCAGCTCTTCCCAGCTAGTAACTATTCAAAGCCGCTCTGGCAGTTTCGAAAATACATACCCGAAAATTTCTCGACTTTTGTACAGATTCTCCACCCGCAACCGTTCGTTGTACAAATGGGCGTTATCACTGGCCTGTCCACACGGCAGGTTCGCCGCCGGCGCAGAGAACTCCTTCTCCAAGAAACGTATCGTCGGGATTGATCCACCCTCGCGGATATAGATGGGCCGCACGCTGGACCCAGACCGTCCTCCCGCCGCCGAACTGGACGTTTTCTCCCCGGTAGCCTCGGGGGCCGATGTGCCGGCAGGCTCATCGGCGACAGATGCCCCTGACTTGCTGGCCAGCGTCGAGGATGTTGGCACTGTCGTGCTCAAGGATGATCGCTGACGCGCCGTTTTCTCCGCCGAGGAAGTCGTTGTCGACATGATGATCCGGTCAATGTGAGAGGCCAGACTATCGCCGGAGTCCTTGCGCTGGAGGCCGGGCCGCTCCTTCGATGGCTTAGGAGTTGTTGACTCCGACGCCTCCCGTTGAATGGGAGGGTATGCGTATCTTTGGGGCTTGTTTGTTGGTGACCAGGCAGCGGTGATTGCTTCAGCTAAGGTCTCGAAGATTTCATTGTCGGGATCTCCCAGCCACGGGTCCGATTTGCCCGTGATCTCGACGGTCAAATCGTTCTGCGATTCCAATCGATCGAACTGCTCTTGCACAAATAGAGTCAGGTTCGTGGCCACCTCATCTGCTTCTTGGTTCGGCACCAGTCGAATGGACAGGCTGGCCTTGGCTTTGCGGGAGATTGTCGTGGTTGCGCTTTTACTGCTTCCAGGCACCTCGACTGCATGAATTGTGAGGGATGGCTCCCTCCAGCGGTGCATGAGCGACTTGATCAGCGCATCACTATCCGCAATTTCGGGGTGATGAGGCAGAAGAACATCAGAGATCGCGGCATAGCGTTGCTTTTCCGCGTCGGTGAGCGGCAGGACTGGCTCTTGGAATCCAGGGAGGTTGATTCGACCCTTGCGACCGACCAAAGTGCCCAGAAGCATGGTGAGGTCTTTCAAGGGCTCATCAAGCAGTGCACTTCCATCAATACCACTGTGAAGATCAGGATGATCACTGGTCACGATAAGGTTGGCATGAACAACGCCACGCAAGCCATAAGTCAGGCATGGGTTGTGGTCATCCAGCCAATAACTGTTGGCAAGCAGAATCCAATCTACCGGACCAATTTCGGACTTGTGTGTCCGAACCGTTTCATGAAAGTTCTGCGATCCAGACTCTTCCTCACCTTCAATAAGGAAGACGACATTGCAACGAAGCTCCTTTCTCCGCGCAAGGTCAGCCGCGGCATACAGGGCTGCTAAAATAGGCCCTTTGTTATCCGTCACGCCACGTCCGTACAAAAAGCCATCAATGGAGGTCAGTTGATATGGATCAGTATTCCACTTATCCCTGTTGGCATCCGCTCCAACAACATCGTAATGTCCATAGAACAGAATCGTCTTGTCCACCTTATTCGGGGCTGTGGCGTTGAACCGCGCATGCACGATCGGATTCGTATCCGCCCCAGTAGTCAGCAGATTCGTCTTGGCACCTAGGTAAATGCAGTGTCGGCGTAGGAATGCAGCACCTTGGTTGCATTCACCAGCAAATTTCGGACTAGAAGAGACCGTCTTGTATGCGACAAATTTGGCTAGGCAGTTGACCATCTCATCTGTACAATGTAAAATTAGTATGCGTAATTTATGCTAATCACTCATAATCATACCGTTGTTGATGCGGGGCTGCTCAGGTTGCGCTCGAGACACATCGGTCAAATCCCATATACCAACAGTGTTATCGTTTCCTCCACTGGCGTAGATGTACCGATCTTTGAAGCGACCGGCTGAGGATGCCAACATGGTGCCTTCGTGAGCCACCCAGCTACCGATTTCCTCGAACCGGGAATTGAACTTCTACAAACCAATGAGCATCATATATCCAAGTCATGGCTCAAAGCTCCTACCTTAATGACACCGTTGGAGTCTCCGCACACTGCAACACCGTGAATGATATCAACAGCCCATAGGTCACCTGTGTGCATCGAAATCCTCTTCACCAGTTGATGGGAGTCCAGGTTCCAGATATTCAAGGCGCCCCCCGCCAAACCACAGTAGAGGAATGAGCCCTCGACAGCGATTGAGAGCACCGGGTCTCCGTTCTGAAGCTTCGCAATCTGCGAAGGGACTGCATTGTCCTTGGCTTGATCCAAGCGCCAGAGTTTCACAACTCCGTCGCCCGCACCGGTCAGAAGCACCTCCTCAGTGGGTGCTTGTTCAATTAGCCCTCTCACCAGTAACATGGTGTAGATATAGCCATGGTGAGAAAATAAGCGGTGATGATCCCGCTTGAAGGTGAGAACTTGGCCGCCCGGGTGTACGCCATCTGCACCCGGGTCCGATCTGGGAGCACGGGAACCATCAGGGCCTCTCGAATCGAAGAATCTGTGCGTCCGTCGGGACAATTGAGCGGCCGAGCGTTGCGTCGAGGCCGCATCCGTTTGTGATATATCACACCACTGTTATTGTCAGTAGGGAGCAAAACCATCATATGAAACCAATTGATTACCTGAATGCTGGTATTCTGACCACCACAGTAGATGGTCTTCAGAGTAGACGAATAGGCCACAGCAAAGATGTCACCAACGTCATGGTGGGAATGTATGGAGTAAAGGCGGTCGAAGGTCCTCGTGGACCAAACCTGCGGCTTGTCAACACTGCAGACGCATGAGTAAGCATACGGAAGTAGCTACATTGACAATTGAATCACCCCCACTGGAGAACAGAAGCTCTCCATCCTCGGAAAGAAATAGATCCAACACGCTCTCTTGATGGGCATGTACCGAAAGGACGAGATCGTATGTTTCCAAAGACCATGCCTATGATGAGTCAGTGGGTGGAGTCCTGCGGTGTCAAGGTACAACGTACGACAATGTCTCCGCCTTGAAGTCCAGCAAAGACGCATTCATTGTCCAAAACCAGGGCTAGGACGGATCGACTGGCTTGGACACGGTGGCCGATGCCACACTCCGCCGGCAATGCCGCGTGGGCTGAGTCATGAGCGAGATGAGCCGTCACGGAGCGAGGATCGGACTCCCAGACCTTGGTTTGGTCATCGGTATCTGATGAGCTATCAGATTCTACAAGTACTGCGTGTTCCATTGCTCCTGCAATGGAGCCGAAGATCTCAGCTATTCTTTCCTCTTTCGATTGAATTGACAGCTCAGTGGTGGGATTCACGTGATGTGCTGTGATGCGAATATGTGAGGCTTGAATGAATGGGGCGGGTGGATAAGCAGCAAGGTATGGGGAAGGACAACAGAGAATGCAGAATAGGGCTAATTAGCATCAATGGAGATGGGGAGAAGGAGGAATGAAGCTGAAGGAAGCAACACGACGTCGATAGAGGTGAAACAACACAATTGCTTCACCTCCAGAGATGTCGTGATCGACCCGGTGAAGGTTGTCCAGGTGGACCAATCACGGATCAAGGAAATTGTTGGCCCCAGCAAGGTGGGGCGTCCCCCAACTGTGGCGGTGCAAGCGTATCGGAACAGAACATCCACTTGTCTTAAAACTCTTTTTCCGACTCACCTGGCTGTGGTTGTTTATAATTGGGATGCTTCCAGCAACGCCTATCCCTGCGGTCAATGAGCGATAGGATCTTCCCCCGGCTTACATGGCATTTTGTTCTGGCCTCTTTGGCCCCCCAGCAGGGATGCAGGAGCTCGAAATATGAGAACAGGCATTTCTCACCTAGGTTTTAAAAGCAGACGTGCTATCAACGTCTCAGTATTGCACTGCGACATGATTCATGAATATGCATTCAGCGAGTCCACGTTGGCTTTATTAGTGAAGGCATATGCGTATCCTGATGAAAGAAGTGGCATTTATAGGAGGCTGTCTGAATTAAGGGGTAGAGGTGTGACCACAGCTTGCGACAGACGGACTAGATACATAACGTGGGAGGTCGGGATTTGATAACGCGTCCTGACGCACTTAGTTTATTCAGCGCGCTGACTATCAACGACTGGTTGCAGATGGAGATAAAGAACGAGCTGTCGGAGCCCGTTAGTTGGGTCGCCATAATGAAAAGGTGTTCAGCTCTTGACAGGGGTTATGGAAAATCTTTGGCTCGTTCTACTGAATTGTGTGAACGAAAGGGAGAAGCGGGAAGTCTCTGGAAAAACAAGCAAATCGATCTTCATCTATGTTTAATATAACAATACAGTAGTGGGTGGCGATTGCCACTAGAAATCAGCCAGCCAGCTACTGGTGTGTGAGAAATGCGACCACACTACTAGGTAAGTAGTAGCTGTTGCCTATACTCTGTAGAGTGTAAGTAGCCTTGGGGTATCTACTACCTGGTGGTGGTGGTGTTGGTAGTAGTAGTAGTAAGTGGGAAGAGTGTGTATGGTAAAAGAACATGACCATCTATAATACTGTGTTACTGACCGGAAAACCCGTGGACACTCCTCAGTGGGTGATGCACAAGCCACAGTGGCGGTGCCATGACTAGCCAATCACGAGCTGCAACATCACCGCCATTCCTGCCGTCTGTCCTCTTCCTTTCTTCCTTCCCCCCACTCACAATCGGGGACTTCCCTAATCAGGCAATCCAGGTGTTAGTATGAGCGATAGTGTTCCTCTCTGGACTAAGTAGATACGGGTACCTCCCCTGTCCCTCCTAGTCATGCTTTGATCAACTTTTCCCAAGAAATGCAGCGATGATCCATGCTCTTTTCCTTCCCTTAAGGCTGAGGGGGTCTTCAGGCATCCAACTGGGACTTGTGTTGCCGTTTCCCTGCATCCTTCGTCAGGTACACCCCCCAAGGCACCTCCCAAGAAGTGGCTGCCGACTTTCTGACCTCCCACGTCAGTACCCAAGCGCCTCCCCCGCCAATGGAGGGTCCCCTCTCTTGGATCGTGCGGTGACAGCAACACAATCCCCACGGATCCGTGCAGCCATTCAGATCTAGCAAATCAATCCTTTTTGGCGCATTTGTTGCCTTGTTCCCAGCTTCATCGACACCCAACCGGTTTGCATTGGCAAGGCGGATACTTCCCCCCTGTTCGTTGCTTTATGCCCATCTTAGGCGCCGCCGCCAGTCTTGCGTCCTTTTAGACCCCCCAGCCCCCTCATATTTTTTTTTGTCCCTTGTACCTTCTCTGTACTCTATTTCGCTGCCCTTACCCGTCAGCGTGGAAATCTCCTTTGTGGCGTGGTCATCCGCCTGCATGCTAGCTACTAGTTACTGTTGGTTGCACCGTACCGGACTCTTCCGCAGCTTATCGTGCTTCTCCTTATAAACTCCGAATACAACCACAGCTGAACTGTGAACCTTGACACCAGGCATCACTATTCAAATTCGCCATCAGCGCAGTTATATATCTGCGTTACTCAGGTCCCTGCTTTTTCAGTGATTTGTGTCGTCATCAAGGCCTGGACCTCGATCTCTAGTCTCGCAAACTTTGAGATCGGGCCAAATCTCCACCGCGACTCGACTAGTGTCGATATTATTCCATTTTTATACACTTTCGCCTGGTTGCGCTACACCGCTGGTCTTACGCTCGGGATTTCGTGGATCGCCAACCCATCATTTTATCGATGCTTGATCCTATTTGAATGTCCACTGGGCAAAATCTCACAAGCAAGAAAAGGATCGATTTGACATCTTTTACTCTGATCAAGTGACAGAGTATTAAGCACACATCTATACACAGTCATCATGGCTCCTCTCGGCGAAACGATTGCTGTGATTGACAAGTCTGGTAAGGTGGTGAGCACGGTACGTATACGATCATACTCCCCGGAACACTGACACACGATACTGACATATGATGGATCATAGAGCAAACACCTGTTCGGCGTGTTCAGTCAAGCCAAGAATGCCTACCGCGAGCGCAAAGCTCAGTTTCAGTCGGAACGGAACGCCAAGATTGCCGAGAAGGAGGCACTGAGGGCTCTTGAGAACTACCATATCGATGATGCGCCTTCAGTCGCATCCTCTCGGAGAAGCCGTTCACGATACCACTCAGGCCGCAGCCACTACGCTCGTGAACCATCGGTCTATGAAGAAGATGTGCAATGGCAGGATCCTTATGCCGACCCATATGCTGTTCGACCAGGCGAAATGATCCGCCGTCATACTACTCATGACGTCGCCATGCGTGGACCAGAGCGACCAACAACCAGCCGGTCCAAGTCCGATGCTCATGTCGACATGGATCTAGCATACGGCGACTTTCACCCTTCGGCCCTGGAGAAAATGCCACCACCCCCCGAACCACAAAACCAGCTCCAGAGAATTGAGAACCCGGAACTGAATACTCTTGTGGATCGGGCGCAGTGGCTCTTAGAGGAAGCTGACTGCATGCAACATACCGCGACCGCCACGATCGCACATCTCCAGAAGAACCCAGATGCCATGGCTGCTGTAGCGCTCACCTTGGCCGAGATCAGCAACATTGCCACAAAGATGGCGCCGTCCGCGCTCTCGACCCTCAAGGCTGCGGCCCCTACGGTCTTCGCCCTCCTTGCAAGCCCACAATTCTTGATCGCAGCGGGTGTTGGTATCGGAGTCACAATCGTCATGTTTGGTGGCTACAAGATCGTCAAGCAGATCCAAAACGCCACCACCACTACCCCCAACAGCCCCATGAGGGCAGCGGCCGCTCCAGAGGAAGATCCCGGCATGGATGACATGATGGAGTTCAACACAGAATGCCTAAGCACTGTCGAGATGTGGCGGCGCGGCGTAGCAGATGCCGAGGCCGACAGTGTTGGCACATCTGTTGATGGAGAGTTCATCACACCCAAAGCAGCAGCAATGTCAGGCATTGATGTGACTACGGCACGAATGTCACGGGACCCCCGATTCAAGTTCGACGATGATGACCAGTCGATGGCATCCTCTCGCAGATCTCGTCGGTCACGCAGCCATCGTGAAGGCTCCCGCGCCAACCACCGACCGGAATCGCATGTCAGCTCGAGGGCACCCTCCAAAGTTTTCTCTAAAGCGCCATCGAAGGCCCCGTCGAGGGCGCCCTCATACGCACCTTCTAAAGCTGAGTCTCGTTACTCAGACATGGAGCCGAAGCCGAAGGAGAAGAAGAAGCGATCCAGCCGTTTGCGTTTGATGTTCACTGCTTAATTTCCTACACGTCTATATTTTATTAACGACAGATCGACACTTTACGACATGTATATAATATTGTATATTCCGATTCCGGATTACCTTACGACAGGATGGATATTTGCTTGGCGATTAGAGTTAGCGAAACTTCTTCATTCTTTGACCTACGATCGGTGATGAATTGTGTCTTTCTTCTCACTATCATTTGACATGATACTGTTGCACATTTGGCGTTTGATACCACTCCTTATGCATGTAGAATGCTTCTGATGTTTATTTTGTTTCCAAACTGCATATACTTGAATTGTGACACTCTACCATGGAACATTTAGGACAGTGAAAAGTTGATACTGAAAATGAAAATTCATATAGTATAACTGAGTCTCCTTCTATATATCTTCTCATACATAACTTTTTGAGAGGTTTGCCAGTAACAACTTTTACTATGAGTGCTATAGTAGCAGAGTCATATGTTTTTCATCCATCCCAGCCACCAAAATCTAACGAAATGTAGGTGAGGACGACCTCAATTTTGGATCTGATAGACACGCGGAGTAATTTTGGTCCATCTGGAGGTAAGTTCATGGTTTATGAAACTAAGATACACTAGTAATAGTAGTCTAGTGACAGCAATACTAGTGGGCAGTGGGGGCTCCTACATAGTATGTAGTTCGGCTGCTGTTGTTGCCGATATAGTCATATGTTATTAGTACAGTCAGTGGTTTTGGCAAGTCATGTGTATTAGAATGGGATGGATATACGGCATTTCTTATCTATACTCGCTAACATAGTATTTGTGGGTACTGGGTAAAATGGTGCCCTGGTTATGAGTTTGTGGTGTGGTGCTACTGGTAGTAGTGCTTGGTAAAGTAATATCTTTGTAAGCTTACTCTCTAACTTATAGGCTGGCAGTGGCCATCTGTCTTTTTCAAGCAGTAGTATTGATCCTGGGTATTCCTGTCTTGATGTATTGCATTATAGGCCCCGGTGATTGCCGCATCTGGTCGTGGAGAGGATGGGTGGGACTGCGTCAATTACCATTGTAGGCAAAAGCCGAAGAGGAGGATTCGGTCACAATACTATGTTTTCTGCTGAAAATTGAGTATATCGTTGATTCGGGAGTCGATGTTACTCTCTGGGAGACGAACTATGAGCGTCAATAGTTCTGCACCAACTTTCATGCCAGGAGGATCCGGGAGGAGGGCCATCTCCTGCGACGTAGGGGTTCTGCAGTCAAGGGCATTGTATTGCCTCTGAAAGTGAGAAAGGATCTTATTGCCATTGAGTTATAGACTCTCAGCAATAACGATTTCACCTTACCTGCTCCCTGGATAGGGACTTCAGTATAAAATCCCGTGAGTGTGTAAGGATTTTGGGGAAGGAGGTTGGTGAGTCTATATGATAGTATGGGCTATGCAGCAAGTGAGGTGCCCATTGGCTCATGCAAGGACTGATTTGCTTCGTTTTCAAAGATGATCGCCCTTCAGTTGGCGGTTGGTAGTCTACCAGGTCATGCCGAGTTCATGAACAAAGCAATGTGCAGGAGATAATTATATGGAAGAGGCATCAACAACAGTATGATTGGTGGGTCGGTGACTATAGACTTTGGGCGGAACAGTCAAGCACGTTTACGCGGCTGTTGTTGTTTCCGCAGCTTGCCGACCGATGCGCTGGCGCTGGACGGCAGGGATAGACCTAGTTCTGGATGCAGGTACTGCAAGGTCGTCTATGGTAAGCAAGTCGTTATCTACATGAGATCAAAGGGTTGAGCAGGGAGTTGACCCTGTTTACTCCCCCTAGAACCTCGTTATCAGAATTGTCGAGTCAGATCGCAACATAATGTTTGCGGTCAATCGTCCGATATCGGTCACGTCTTTCGGGCGTTGAAAGCATCTGCAACATACACAGAACACAAATTCCCAGGTTACACAATCCTCGTATCCGTTGTAGGCAATCTCATCACACTGCCTCATGTAGTAGGCTTCGAGAACAATAGTTTGAAGCTAGAAGGTGCTGGTCATGCGTGGGTTGCGTATGGTCTGCACTAGGCAGCTCGTCACATAGCAGTACTTTCAGCACCGGCTGAGCGTTGCATTTCAGCTCGGCAATCATGTCGTAAGACCGGCAAAGGACAGCACAGCAAGAGTCAGAGAGAAATTGGGGGGAGGAGAGGAGGAGGAGAATGGATGATGATGATCCTGCTAATCAACCCACCGTGTAGATAGTCGGAGTATCAAATTGTGGTCTGGAACAAAGGCATTATGGAAGGGCATTCGGCAATGAGACGGGCAGGCGTTTGCCGCGCTAGGAGGGCGAGAGAAGCGAAGACGGAAACAGTGGAGAAAAGGCGGCGTGAACAAACAATGTTGGAGACCGGCAAATGAAGGCGGGCGAACAGCCGGCTTTGCATTCTTTGCGCTCCCAAATCACGTCCCGTGATTGGCTCCCCAGGAAAAACCGTTCGGCCATTCGCCCGTTTTGCTGCCTCAACGCCTGCCTTGCAGCTCCAGACTCGCACACCATTCCGAGTCAAACACTAAGATTTGTGGTCTTCTAACCTCCTGTACACAATGCAGCGGACTAATTTGACATCATGCATCCTTAGTATCAGGTGGAGCCTCGCGCCCACCACTTCTGGGGTCGACATGACCCTCGCGGACGGTTGGCTTGCTTCTCCTCCTTTCGCCATTCAAGAACCAATAATGGTTCAATGATGCACTTCTGGTCTGACCTATACTCACCGGGGTTGTGGAGGGCTGGTCTGGTCGTGCTTCCTTCGGTGGAGAAGCGATCTGGGGGGTTCGCGTCCTGCCGTCATTTCCGGCTGGAGGAAGGACAACCGAAGTTTGAGCCTGAGCCTGGCTCTGGAATTCTTTATCAGGAGCGTGCTTGCCCATCTTGACATTCTCTGTTGTTGCTGTTGCTGTTGTCAGTTTTATCAATCTATCAGTGTTTTCATTGAACTCCCGTACCTGAGTGGCGAACCCTCATTCATCCACGGATATTGTACGGCCCAGATTTGCCCTTAGCCTAGGACCTCCGAATTTTTTCCCCAATTTTTAAACTCTTTATCATTTAGCCCCGGCCCTCTTTTCCGCTTCCTTTATCATCTTTGTTCTGTGTCATTGTAATTCAAACCCTCCGTCAAACCCCTTGAATTCATTCGCGAATATGGAACAAGCAAAGACTCCTCTGCAGGTGATCGTGGTTGGGTAAGTTCAAACCCTCGTCTCGCCTGAGTCACTATGTATTGTTGCTGACATTACCGTATAGTGCCGGTAGGTCTTCTGTCTCATAGACCTGAAAGCGAAAGAAGCATGTAACTAATTAACTCAGGCATTGGCGGCATGGCTGCGGCCCTGACCCTGGGTATGCGAGGACATCATGTTACCATTCTCGAGTCCGCTCCCAAGGTGCGTATACCAGTCTATTCTGATACGTCTTGCTGACTGACCTTTCTTAGCTCATGGAAGTTGGTGCTGGTATTCAAGTCTCACCTAATATGCTGACGCTGTTTGACCGTAAGCGCCCCTTGCGTCTCCTGTCACTTAAACCCATCTGATGATAGGACTCAGGGTGGGGCGTCTCTCCGTTGATCCACGCCCAAGATGTTGCCCTCGAGCACATCCATGTAAGACGTTGGGAGGATGGTAGCATGCTCGGCACCTTGCCTGTGAACAAGACCTACGGCCAACAGACTGTCATTCACCGCGCAGACCTCCACAATGCCCTCATTGAACAGGCGCTGGCGCTGTCGAATGTGGAGCTGCGTGTGAACTCAACGGTCACTGGAGTCCAGTTCGACCATGCCGCAGTGCAATTGGCCAACGGCACCATCGTTAAAGGAGACATCGTGATCGCGGCTGACGGCATCAAGTCTGCCCTCCGCGATCACTTGCTGGAAGAAGCATCTGTCGCCGTCCCCACGGGTGATGCAGCCTACCGGATCATGCTGCCCCGTAGTGCTCTAGAGAACGATCCTGAGCTGAAGGCACTGGTTGATGAGCCACAAGCCACTCGGTGGCTCGGACCTGGCCGTCATGTCATCGCTTATCCAGTGCGAAACCATGATCTGTACAATGTTGTCCTGCTTCATCCAGACAACCATTCTGTCGAGGAATCGTGGACTACCAAGGGTTCCAAGCAGGCCATGATCGACAACTACAAGGGCTGGGACCGGCGCGTGACGAAGCTTATCGACTTGGTGCCGGACGACGAAGTCCTGGAATGGAAGTTGTGTCTACACGCCCCGCTAAAGACCTGGATCAGGGGTTCCGTGGCTCTCATCGGTGATGCCTGCCACCCAATGCTGTAAGCACCCCTTATGTTATGATGACCTGTCTTGCACTAACATCCCATAGGCCATATGTCGCTCAAGGTGCCGCCCAGGCCGTCGAAGACGCTGCTGCCCTTGGTGTCCTGCTCTCCACCATCTCTTCCCGTGATGAGATTCCTCTTGCGCTCAAGGCGTATGAGCAATCCCGGAAACCCCGCGCAGACACTGTCCAGCAATCGGGGTCGGAAAACCGCATCACGCTCCACCTGCCCGATGGCCCGGAGCAACGCGCGCGTGATGAGCAGTTCCGCTCCTCCCTGCAGAGCGGATCGAACCCCGACCGATGGACAGATTTGGAAACCCAGAAGTTCCTTTGGGGCTGGGATGCCGAGAAGGCAGCTCTGGATGCATGGAAGGGTAAGTTGCCATCGTCATCAACATCCTACTTACCCCTGGCAAGATATCTGCTAACAAATCCCAGAACTCCATGGCAACCACGTGTCCGAACTGCGGCACCACCTGTGATTTGCGATCTGCAATATGTCGTATGCACATTTAAACACGTTCCTTCTTCAACATGATTGGGATTGATTAACACTTTTAGCCCTGGCGTTCTCATCAACGTTACAATTAGCGACTTATCATATACTTTTATGGATAACTGTACATACATATCAACAGGCTTATAGAATGCACATATGAACCTTCGACTCTGCTTTGTTTTCTTCTTCTAGGTCGTTGACTTATCGGTAACTGACGAATGATGTGAAGGGGTGCTGGCAATAGATAGGAGCTCGTGATGGCTTGTGACCGTTCCAGCTGACATAGAGAAAACCAGAAGCAAATTTTATGATGGAGAGCTGAACAGCAATTGCTTTTTGGGCGAGGAAAGGATCTTTTTACACAGGACAGAAGCACAGAAGAGTAGAGGAGGGGACGATGGAACTTAGACAGGCAGATAAGAACTAAAACGTGACCGATGGTCCGAACAGGGATAGTTAGCCCGGCTAGACTATAGCGGATGACTAGTAGTGGCCCATTATATACAGAGGTAAGAACTCATTTATTGAAGTAGAGTGTAATAAATAATAATTACTCCTAAGATGTACATAAGGCTAATTACAAAGTTCTTTATCTACCATTCACCAGATTCTCTTAGCCACCATCTCGTAACGTTGGACATGATCCATGTTCAGGTCCTCCTTGGTATTTTTGTCTTTCTCTTCTTTGGCCTTCAGCCGACGCAGCCCCTCAGGGTCGTCCGCATAGATCCATCGTCGATGATCATCGTTGACCTCGACTACGCCCCATCCGCCGAATCGTCGGCCGCCTTCAACTGCAAATGCTCGTCCACGGGGTGCTGTTCCGTTGGGTTCATCAGCAGGTGCTGCCGATGGGGCATTGGCTTGATTAGATGTTTCACGCAGCTTCATCGCCTTGTACCGAGATCGGGCGTATGCTAACAGGACCATACCCAGGAGAAGCTTCAGGATCAGGAGGACCACGAAGCCTGTTAAGATAAGGACTATGGTGAAGATGTGTACGGATTGGGCGGGCGATGGCATGGTGTTGGCTAGAAGCTGGCGGAAGAAGGCACCCACGTACGCGGTTGACGTCGGGATAAAGTTTCGTAGCGTCAATGGAGGAGGTGAGGGCATTGGAGCCGGCACGTACTGGCTGTGGATGGCTGAAAGGGTGGTGGCCTCTACTGCCGTGGAGGAGGGCTGTTGAGGGAGCAAGGCAGTAATGAACATCTGATACGTTTGGACGGAGACTCGGAAGAAGAGGCAAGACAGTGGGATCACCGGCAGACCTAAGCGACGGGTCAGGTTCTGGTCTGCAAAGGCGTTGGTGTAGTAGTCTTTCGCCAGGATATCCAGAAACCGTCCGTAGATGGCTGGCCGCGTGTTGTTAAATTTGCCAATGTACGCATGCTTTAGCCAATCAACTAGCATTTCCGACCCTAGAACGACCAAGAACGGCCCCAGAACCTGTGCGAGCGTCGGCAGATACGTGTTCACTTGACTGAAGGACGCAATTATTGACGATGGTACAATCGTAAAGGCCTGTGGCAGGATAGATGAGGAGGTCCGGGGAGGAGTCGATAGGGGCGTGCTGTTGGTCCCCGTGGATGTGTATCCTCCAAGACTGAAGCTCAAGCTACCAAGGGCATTGAATGCTCCAGTCTCAACAAGGTTTCGCGACGCGATGATGGTAAGCATCAACCAGAGCTGGAACCGCTCAACCACGTCAGCGCAGAGAAGCTGGAAGAGATTCTCTTTCTCGAATTTCTTAAACACCGTGGATTTGATCTCCACAAACTGGTTTGAGAGCAGCAGGGTAATGAGCGCGTTCGAATACGAATTCACCGCAACATTCAATGTCATCACCTGATAAAAGAGGGCCGTTGCGTGGATGACTGTGTATGCTAATGCCAGCAAAAACAATCCAAATGGTCGGAAGACCTTGCTGCGCCCGTCCGGGCGACGCTCGAGAGCTTCCCGCGAAAACAGACACTCAAGCACGTCTTGTCCAATGGCAGCGAATAACCGATCGCTGACCTCTAGCACATTATAGATTACATAGAGTTTGATCGCAGCCTGTCCTCGGATCCAGTGATACATTCGACTTGCATCAAAGTGCATCAACACGCAGCAGGTAGATATGATGAGCAGCCCTTTAAGGATGTCAGCCTTGTCATCTGGCATCAAAGCTGATGGGATGCTCTTCTGCCGCCGGTGCTTATGGTGCCGCTTGCGCGGTTCTGTGGCACGATTGCGAGACTCTCGTTCCACTGATCCGTTCTCCTGCTTCTCAGAGGTGGACTTTCCAGGGTCAGCAACCTTCGAAGACTCGTCCGTCGATGATGCTCGGTGTCGTCTCCGCCACACTCGCCCAACACCTTTGAGAATGAAACCTGTCACATAACGAAACTCAACGCCAAGATTGACAGCCCATGACTCCAGAAGAATGTACAATGCTTTGATAAAACGAAGAGGAAGAATGGTAAATGTATGCAACCAAGAATCGAGACACGCTAATATACCAAACCAGAGGACTCGTTCCAATGCGGGAGGCAGCATCAAAAAGTTCATCAGACGTTCAAGTTTGACCCGAGACGATTCATATGGAAAGTCGCTCATTGCGGAGCGGTGAATGTATAGCGGAGACGGTCGACCGGAGGCCAATTCTAATTGTAGGTATGTCGGAACGGACAACGGAGGGAGAGGAATGGTTGGAGGCATAGGGGACGGTAGAGCAGGCTCAGGGCCAGTGATGTGTGGCGACGGGGTAAGGTGTTTTCCATCAGACTCTCGACTGAGAGAGGCGCGCTCTTGCTTCCCCCGTGATGTCCAAGTCTGCGTCAGTCGTTCACTGGTCGTTGGCATGGTTTGCCGTCGCGAGCTGGGTGTAGATACAGCTCGAGAGCCTTGCGGCCGAGTCCGAGCAAGTTGCTTAGCTGCCGTGGCAGCAGAGACGTCGATGGATAGATCCTTGCTGGGACGAAGTTTGGGGACGCTGTCGCCGGTTACCTTATGCTCATTCGGTAGAAGAGTCGCAGATTGGTCAGGCTGCGAAGGTGAGATCGCTGCATGCATGCCATCTGATACTGCACGTCGACCGCGGTCCGACTCCGGGGGTGCTGCACGATAAGGAATAGACTGAGGGGATGATGTGAGTTCCTGCATCCTGGCCGGAGAAAGCTTAACTACCCGCTCCTGCTCCTTATCTAGGTTCCTGACAGGGGATGTGTTCTGCGACCACCGATGGACGACGGAAGCTACGTCGGGACCTTCGAAGAGATCCACTAAAGAGGTCCTCGATGTCGTACGATGATCTGCGCTGTCCGAGCCCTCCAACGAGTGTTCGAAGATCATCCCTAGGGCCTGGTCTGAAGGAAGCACTGGCTGACCGCTTTTCTGGTCGCCGTTCACCGTGGGTTGGCTGGGAAACCTATTCAGATCGTGGTCGCTGACAGGCGCACCAAATCGGTGTATGACTTCCTCCTTATTGCTCCGCTCCTGAGCACTCATAGTATCCAATGTTGCGGATCCTTCTTGTTGCGTAGTTCGGCTTAATGTACCGCTGGCATGATCGTCCTTATCCTCGCGGTGCGAATCTACCGGTCTGCTTTGCCGAGGCTTTCCAATCTCCAAGCTATGACCTTCGCGATCCATGCCGCTCTCATGTTCTCTCTTCCGGGGAGATACTGGGGTTTCCTGTCCGCCCGGCGCGGCCACATGGGTGATCGGGTCTGATGCTCGCTGGCTGAGGTGGTCGGGTAGTTCATCCATCATCGATATCAATGACTATTGACCATTATATAGCAGCGCAGATTGGGTATTAACACCGATGTCATGATCCGAAACAGCCTCGAGGGATTCTCGGCGGGGTTGGGGGAAAGGCGAGGCCACGGTGGTAGGGGTGGATGATAGTGCCGAGATGGCTGACTGCGCAACGCGACCAGCGGACCGAAGATTAAGGGGATTTCGGGATCATGCTGTGGGTAAACTGCGGACTGTCAAACTTGATCAAAGAAAATCAGCCCTTGTTAGGGAATGCAGAAATCGAAAGAACTCTTTCGTAGCGACGAAGTTGCTTATCATGAAAACCAGAAAGAGACCCTGGAGGCTTTGCCTGCGATCCCCGGAACCCCAAGGCGGTCAGCAGCCTGTCATCCCCAACTGTCCTTTCTCTCTTCGGATTTAATTCTCTCTAAGGCCGAGATCGATGAAACAGCAAAGCGTCATGTCAATCAGTGAGTAAGGAGTAGTGCTATCCACTTATTATCTAACTACAGGTGCGCCTCCAGAGCTTTGTTGCTATCCTTATTTCTCAAGGCCTCATCGTCAAAGGGAACACTCTTCGGTCTAGCAGGCAGATCGAGCATATCCAAAGATACGGCCGGGGTAAATGTATGAGCCTATCGTTTCCACAACTCCCCTGGCATCAGCCCTGCGTACCTAGTAAGCAGGAACTCTTTTAGCTCCGGGGTATCCATTGTGTCCAATTTCTGTCGTTTGTGAGTTGTTTCGATGATACTAAATGTGCGCGGCTCGCGAATGTTCTGCACTCGCTCAAACATTAACTGAATCTCCGACTGAGAGAGCGGGCCTGAGCCCGAGGCCTGCGACAACGCAGCCATCAAGCCATTTACCACGGCCGCGGCGCTCTCTAAAGCCTGGTTTCCCCCTTGCGCGGTAGTAGGGAGGACCTATACCGATCCCACCAAATGCTTAGTCGCGGTATGACACTGATAGAAAGGGCCGGGTTTCCTCACCTTGTGGCAAGCGTCTCCAATGGTAATGATCCTTCCCAGGTGCCATTTCTTGTAGACGAACTCTGGCATTGGTGTATATATCGTGCTCAACTGACGCTTGTAGAGATCGGATAGGCGAACATTTGGAGTGACCTGGTCATTCCAATGCTCTTGAAGAGTGCGCTGCTTGTCTTCTTCACTGAATCGAGGGATGTCGGCACCGTAGTATGTCTGCTTCATCTTCTCCATCAGGAACCAATAGACGCGCCCAGCAGGACCAGCACCCAGCACATATGAGAAGCCTTCATTTGTCACAAATTCGAGTGAGCGACTGGGAAAGCCTGGGACGGGATCGGACATTCCAAAGACACAGCTGTAACTTGCAGCGACCTCTGCATTATGCCATACTGGTTAGATACCAAGGAGAAAAAAAAAAAAAAAAGGGACGAAGGGTTCATTCAACTGACTGTCTTCTTCCGCATAATCCTCGCTGAGCCCTAGGTCTTCGGCGTATCTAACCATTTCCTGCCTCAGCTTGGAATGGGTGCCGTGCCGTCTGTTCCAACGATGATATCGGCAGAGTATGTTGACCCATCAGTTGTGACGACATCAACACCATTGTCGGTATGCGTGACACTGGCCACACGCTTGCCAGGCAAAACCTTCGATTTATCCGCAATGTTGTTGTACAAAACTTCCAGGAGAGACTTCCTGTCCATCCACATATAGGTATACCCATGCCTGTCACCCTGGTAAGCATACTCATTCGACAATTGAGGGAGCAAGCAAGCAAGAGGGACACACTTCGCAATACACGTCTCAGCCAATCCTTCATCCATCCCCCAGAGCGTCTCTCCATCAGGCTTCCGAAAGTGAACCTGGTCAGCACCCGCCGAACACTTCTGCAAATCCTCATAGCACCCCAACTGTTCAATGATGCGGAGACCATTAGGAGCGAGAGCGATACCTGCGCCAACAGTAGCCAAGACCTGCGGGTATGCTTCTAGAAGTAGATAGTCAATGCCATGCTTCTCCAGCATAAGTGCCAGAGAGAGTCCGGCAACGCCGCCGCCCGCGACGATGACCTTGCACGGTCTGAGAGCCATTGAATATATATTTTACAATGTAGATAACATGTGACGCAGCTGGATGGTAGTAACAAGAAGTGACAGAGAGACATAACAGAAGCGAACAGCGGTGGCTTTGTAGACTTTGTACCTCACAAGTACCCATGTCGAACTATACAACTGCACGCAATGATTGGTACGCTCGCCTAGATCTAGTGGCAAAGCCGTCAGTCTTGGTAGCTGTTCGTAATTTCTTAGTGCTTACACGCGGTCGCCTAATCCAAACACCAAACGGCTATAGGCAGTGATTTTCGGAAAGTGTAACAAGGAAATGTTCAAGTTTTCCACTGTACGGGCCTCCACTACACTACTTGCTACTCCAAATGGGTTTGCCCATTGAGTTGTTGTAATGGTGTTTGCCGAGGCGGGAATATATAATTGGTAAAGTTTAATTCCCACAATAGACAGACTGCCAGTGGCCGCCTCAACCCCACTACGGAAAACGTCTCGCGACATTGATCCTCTTGAACGCCAAGCAAAACATCGTCTACTTAATCCGAACGGCCGAAACTAATGACTCATCACGTTCAACTGAATGTGCTAGGAATATGAATGCATTTGAAAAGTGACATGCTTTCGCAACTTTATCACCCCCCATGAATCTTCCCTGTTCTAGGGTGCATGTTGGTAGCTACTTCCCATCATCTCCGATATCCTGGCCCGCGTGTCCAACTCCGTCGGCGCCTGTTGCATCCTGTGCGGAACATAGCTTTCTTGCACAAGTCCTTTGTCCATATATAAACCCTCTTGAACGTTAGAGGCAGCAGCCGTAGACGCTGTAATTCTCCTGCTCCTCTCCCAGAGCGCCCACACAACAGCCGACATAGCCAGCACTCCCAGGGGCACGCCCACACCAGCTCCTACAGCCGTCGCATTTGAGCTACAGTGCTTCTCACTGCTTGAACAAGTCGCCGAGGTCGCTAGCACGGTCTCGGTGGAAGCCGTGGTTGTCGAAGTGGAACTGGCGTTACTAACTTCCGTCACATTCTCCAGCGCGGCCCGCCCGATAATCATCTCTCCATTGTTTAAAGTAAACGCCGTGTTGCCATCCACGCACTCCGAAGACCCGTTGTTCTTGACCTGAAAGCCGCAGCAGTATTGTGCATCGCCTGAGCTGTCCGTGCCGATTCCGATGATGGGTGCGCCGCCGCTGGGGTTTTTGTTTACTGTTGGGTATGCTTGTAAGTTGATGGACATTGATAGGTATTGAGTGGTGTAGGGGAGGAAGCGAGACGACTCACCACACTGCGTCGGACAACCACTACCCCAGTTTTCGTCCGTACAAGAGCCCCGGTAGAAGACATATGGCTGGGCTCCGACTCCAACGCAGTAGCCATTAGACATGCAGATCGCGTCGGAGTCGCAGCAATAGGTCGTGTCAGCGGACGTACAGGGGACGCTAGTGGTGGCGACGGACTTGTCGGGGTGGTAGCATGTGCGAGCGGAGGAGAGAGAGATGAAGAAGGTAAATGTGAGTGTGAAGATGAACATTGTTTTCGCAATCAGACTATAATAAGCAGTATTATCGTAGGGTGGTAGGATGATATGTTCGTTCGAGGAGATTTTGTGGCATCTTGGGCAGGAGAGTGCGCGACGCTGTTTATGAGCGGCTGGATGAGTTGATAAATGTTTTGCAGAAATCCCGCCTTGATTGTTGAGGGATCAAACTAGGCTTAGGGATAGTAGTGTTCGTATTTCTTGGCTAGTCCGTTGATTAGACAAGTGGGCTAAGAGCCTAAGAGGCCTCTATACTAAACCTCGTTGTCCCGCTGGACTAGTCGCGGCTTAGAGGGTAACATGAAAATGTGCACCAGCAGCGCTAGTCATTCCTTGGATTGCAGAAGAAACTCTTCGTACTTTGCAAACTCCATCGAGCATTGGGCATAGTCTGAAAATCTTGACGAAGGGCCCAATGAAGAATTCAGCGTTGCGTCCAGAATCTGATGACAAGGCTTAAATCAAAGTGCAGAGCTAGAAGCTTACTCTAATCGAAACTTGACTTTAGTTACCGCGAATAAGGTCGGATGACCCAAATCCTTCGACAACTTTGGCAGTCTTAGCGCGGTCTCGGCTCAGGAGTGGGGGCCACGCAGAGTCATGGTGCGGGTTGCAGTGGCCACATTCGCATATCAGGGCTTCATGGTTCCACGCTGCGGTGTATGAAGGATCGCCTGGGTGCGTTTGCCATATTGCCCATACTCTGTTTTCGTATGCGGTTGCTGCAAGCCCACCAATATATATATATATATATTTTTAATGAAGACCATGTTTTCGGTGAGGAGTTCGAGAAGCATTGATATTGAAAATAAATCAATTCGAACAGCAGCTGGAGATTGATTAAACGTACTTGAGGCACTCGTTCGGTGGTAGTCCGAAAGAAGGTGGTCTCCAGGGGAAGATCCCGTAGATCGCTTGCTGCCAATCAGGTGATCCAGCCACGCACCGTTCTATGGAGAATGGCCTCACTTCCCCTTTTCTGCTTTTGACCTTATTGTCTCCAGTCGGCCGTTGTGATCGAAACCAGGCACGATATCTGTTTTGCGACCTCATAATATGTCCGAACGTCATGAGCTAGTGTTCTCCCTTAACGTCTTTGCGTCCAGTCTACCATAATAGTGGAACTATTTGCGCCCGTTAATGATGCACGATCGATATATGGTGTAAATCATCGCAACCGTGTACCACTCCCCTGGGTTCATAATGTTGCACAAATCAACTCACTAATGATCTGAAGTTGCACAATTGATCAAACGGCGTTTAAAGATGGGGAGCGCGCTTTTATATTATTGCCTACAATCTCTGATAAAAAGACATCGATAGTGAACAGAGAGGGCTGATCACCGAGACTTGAAAATGAAAAGGAGAAATTCTGATTCTGATTATTGACGTTAAGCCTTCAATAAGGAGCATGCTGCATTCAGGAGAAGATAAGGCTGGTTCGAATATGGACAGCGAATGCTGACAGGTCTACTGCAGGCCGAGGACGACAAATTCGGCAGACTCTGATGACTGCTCATGATCCCCCAAGACGTGGAGTGCGTTGGTGACGGATAACGGCTGCCAGCGTTGAAGCAACTGTGGGATAATAACACGGCGAGAGACGCCTTTGATAATCGGAACCATGGGGGATGGCTCCTTGATAAGGACATTGACTGGCAATGCTGGGCCCTTGAGACATGATCGATGGATACACGTATCAAGATTCCATACTGGTGAATAAGGAGATGGGGGAATCGGAGAATTAGTAGGCCATCGATTCAAATGGCGCTAACGCGCTCGACGATAGCAAAAGGAATTAATAGCTCGCCTACCCGGCCAAACAATGCCACATTGTCCTATAATCAGAGCCACAGCGCGGAGAAATCCAGAAAATTCTTTATCTTCGCATTACCAGCTGAAGAACCCGAAAATGAGTCTGTACTGCATGAAAGTGGAGTGGTTCGGCAGTATGAGGATGCATCGCGTCTGGAAGTTGATACATCCGATCCGTGCGGTGCCTGGCAAACCTTATCAGCCACGCGAGATGGTGCTGTGCCACGGATTCAATTGGCTTCGATACTGCCGACCCTTACCAGGTTTTCGGCAACCTGTGAAGCAAGGGCTGCAACGCACAGACAAAGCTGCAACTACCGTTCCTCGTTAGCCTGTCAGTCTATCACTTGGCAGGGGGTTCAACGGTGTCTCAAGTGACTGATACATGTCGAATCCGAGTCCAGAGGGTCCCCCTCTTGGTTGCCTTGGAGTCCCTGCCCTCTCTCCTAGAGGGCGAACCGACGTACGGAGCAAACACCCCTTCGTGATCTTCAGTAGCCCTGGGCTCGGTATCTTCGAAAATGGACATACAGTGCTACCTAGTCCCCTCTTCGAATCCCTGGCTGGCCTGTCATTGGCTCTGCCCTGGAACAAGATGTGATGTATAGACACCGAATGTGCAGCCCCATGCAGATCAGGATACATCCAACGTCCCTTAACAACCAGCCCTTCTCCCTACCCCAAAAATAGTCCTGTCAGAAAGTACTTAATGAGTTCGTTGGTCTGCAGTTTGCCTCGATTCCAAATACCAACAGCCACGAACTATCAATTACTTGCAGTCATTACCGACCCATACTCTAACCTTGTCTGTGCCCATAATGTCGCTAGAACAAGTGTCAGGTGGAGGCACCGAGGGTGACTTCCAGCACCCCAACGAGAACCTACGTCGGTCAACCATTATTGCACTTTATTTTGCCTTTATTATGTCCACGGTTGCCGTGGCCCTTCGTCTTCTCGCGAGAAAGATCACTGGGTCACGATTGTACTTGGATGACTATCTTATGATAATAGCTTTGGTATGGTCATCACTTGTATCTCTCCTGGAGATTCATGCTAACATGTACCTCAAGCTCTTCAAATATGGCTGTTCGATCGGTGTCACAATCCGTAAGTTATCCTCGCCCAACCTTGCCCACGATATGTCTAATCGTTATAGTTTTATGGAACGGCCTCGGATGTCACATCAACATGATCCCGCAAAAGAACCTGACGGTTTACTTCAAAGTTCGTGTCTACAAATCCCCTTCCCACGATGATCACTAATCTCGAACAGATCGGATGGTCCAATTCCTTCGTTTACACTCTCTGCGTCATGTTCATCAAGTTGTCTATCCTGGCAGTCTACAAGCGGCTATTTGCTGCTAGGAGCATGAAACTCGCAGCCAACATCGTTGCCGTAATCGTCGTCCTCTGGGCCGTGAGCATCAGCATTGGCGGTGTTCTGAACTGTGTGCCTGTTCAGAAATTCTGGGATCGCCCGGTCCCGGGACACTGCGTCAACACCGTGGGCTACTACTACGGCCAGCAAATCCCCAACATTCTTACAGACGTGGTTCTGCTCATCATGCCGCTGAAAAGCGTCTGGGAGCTACCCATTTCCAAGACTCAGCGGTTATTGCTGTCGGGTGTGTTTCTAGTCGGAATTCTGTATGATCCCCACTCCAGAAAAAAAGCAAAAGAGTGTCTCGTACTAACCTAACTCAGGACCCTGATCTTCGACATTCTGCGCCTGGTCGCAATGATCCAGCTGACACAAGCCGGTCCAGATATTACCTGTGAGTACACATTCGTTCCTCCTCGATACATTAAAACGCTAATAAATTCCCTAGACAACCAAGTCCCCGTCGTCGTGTGGACATGCATGGAGGCAGCAGTAGGAATCACAGCGGCATGCATGTCTCACATCCGGCCACTGTTCAACGTCAAGCTCTGGTCTCGACTCCGGTACTCGGACCAGGAGCCTGGAAAGGGATCAACCAACTCGTCGGAAGAAGGGTTCTCGTCTTCCGACCGCACGCTCTTTGATCCCTGCGGAACCCAGACTACCATCTCCGCTGGCCATGAGGTGCATGCTGAGCATGAGAAGCCTTGAGGTAGTTACTCCTAAAACTACTGCTGTCGAGCAATGTCAAAACCTAAGTCTTATTGTCATGTGTGAGGATCAATGTGTTGGTCATGTAATGGCTCTCATCTTTTCTGCATGTCTTTATGTTACGATTGAGGAATCTTTTAATATTCGTGAGATGTATATAGTTAGTGATTTATTAATGCACAATTCTATACCCATATATCAGTACTTGCTTCTTTGCATATTAGTGTCTATAAGCTGAAGGGACTAAATGGCAAACATATGATGGTCGCATTAAGTAGCCTCTTGATATTAGTAAAATATAATGACCGATCTCGAAGACTCGCAAGTCCACGACCTAGCTCCCAGTTACTCCTGCTTTCTGCCTCCTGACCCCAAATTCTCCTTTCCCCAATGTTTCAACTCCCTCCCTTACTTGCAAATGACCCTGGAGTTGAAGATCCCCCGCTTTAGTTTCACCCGCACCGCCCCCTAGCATGAGCGTCCCATCCCCCCCACCAATCAGACAACCATCACCAGCCACCCTGTCCCTCAATCGCCCTGACAAGATAAAGCTGATTAGCACGCACCTCCTCATTGTAGAGCCGACCATCAGTAAACCAAGAATGACTCAACGCATCCGCAGCATTAATCCTCATCTCAGGCTGTAATCTCAACATCGCCCTGACCAGTCCCATCCCCTCTTCTTCCATCCTAGGCATCAGTCCCCACAAGTCCTGTTCCACATACAGTGGGAAATCCGCACGATACTCAGGCAACCTCGACACCCCCCTCCACGACGTCTCACACGGGGTTCCCATGACCTTGAAAATCTTCTGCAATTGGTCCTCGTTATTCGATCCGGGAAACAATGCCCGACCCATAGACATCTCCGCGATGATGCATCCAATGGACCAGATGTCGATGCTCGTGCTGTAGCTTCGACTACCTAGTAATACGTCTGGCGCGCGGTACCACAGCGTGACGACTTCGTTGGAGAAGGTGTTCACCGGGATGCCGAAAGCGCGGGCGAGACCGAAGTCTGCGAGCTTGAGTTGGCCCTTGTGGTTTACCAGGAGGTTCTGGGGCTTGAGATCGCGGTGGAGAATGCGGTTCTCGTGACAGAAGGCGACGCCGCAGACGAGTTGGTTTGCGAAGGATTTGATGATGGAGGGTTCGAGCTGCCCGCCGTTGGTGTCCATGTAGCGCTTTAGGTCTTTGTCCATGTATTCGAAGACGAGCATGAGTCTGTTCTCGGAGTGGATGACATCGTGGAGGCGGAGGATGTTCTCGTGGTGGAGCTCTTTCATGAGAGAGATCTCGCGGATCGCGGTCGAGGGCGTGCCTTCTTCTGTGTCGAGAGCGATTTCTTTGAGTGCCACGAGCTCGCCTGTTTTGGTGTTGCGGCCTTTGAAGACCTATTTCAGGGCTGTTAGGTGGTGGTGGGTGGGGGGGATTGACGGTGTGGAGAGTGGGTTGGGGTACCGTGGCGTAGGTGCCTTCGCCGAGCTGGGGTGGTTAGCGGTGGTTCTGTATGGGTATGTTGCTGGGGGGGGGGGGGGGGGGGTTGGTGGTTGTAGCGCTTACCTTTTCCAGCTGTTGGAAGGAGTTGGGAGATGTTCGGGTCATGGTGGTGGTGGTGAGTGATGATGATGGTGATGGTGGAGGATGAGTTTATTGGGGGTCTGCAGTAGTTGAAGGATCGATTGCAGAGAGTCTGACTGTCAGGCACAAACCCCGCCAAGTTTCCCTGCCGATGACATTGCCTGTGCACCGGAAGTCGTCTTCAGGTCGATAAGGTAACTATTGCTAATTCATTAGGCCCGCGGGTTGCGGAAGATGATGGCTGCGGAATGCCATTCATTGGTGGAAGGGATCTGGTCGGAGGCCTTAGCTCAGGCTGGGGCGAAAGGGGAGTGCGTATGTCGGCTGACAAGTCCGTAGAGGGTCGGAGTGCTCAAGCTACGTTGTGTATACTAAGGGATTCTACAGCAGGAACAAGTATGGTGGATTGGTGATAGGATAGCAATATACTTGGTAGAGATCACCGAAATGGATGTCAATCGTCGAATGGGGAATGAACCTCGGTACTTCCCATTTCGGGTATCGCCATGTCCGATCCAAGGGACAGTAACCTTTCTGATTCTTATTTTTGGGCGATGGCAAGCCAATTGCATCATTCGGTGCCGGCAGCGAATTAGGATAGTCGTCCCCATGCGATCGTCTGCATTGTCAGTGGAGAGTTACAATTGAAAGGGCAAAAAGATCTGGAGGCTGAGAGGAAGCGTTGGAGTCGGTCTTCTTTCCGAGCGAGGATCCCCGCATTTGGTCTCCATCTCCAGCTTTGCTCCTCGGCTGCTCCTTTTACCTCCTGTTCTCTTCCCGTGTCTTACCTTTTCTTTTTTTTTCTCTTTCTTCTTCCTTCTTCATCTTCTCCTCAAGTACTGGTCTGTACTTTGACTTCAATCGCTTCTCTTCTGCCCTATACCTCTCCACTCACCTCTTGCCTGTCTACAACCCCGCATTATGGTCAGCGCCGTTCGCGTCGCCCCTTCGGCTGCCAGCAGAGCCCGCAATCTGCTGCGTACCGTCCAATACACTCATCCTCCATCATGTCCCTGCCATTCCAATCCCAATCACCATCATCACCATCGCTCTCCCACACTAGCCGACCATGTGCGTCGTCATATGGCTACTCCGGTCGACCCCTCCCGTCAAAAGGAATATGCCTTTGAAATGGCCGCCTCCAGCATTCGTTTCGGCCCTGGAGCCACGAAAGAAGTCGGAATGGACTTTGCCAACATGAAGGCAAAGCGTGTATGCATTGTGACGGACGAAAATGTCGCCAAGCTGGATGCCATGAAACAGGCGGTGGAAGGTCTATCGCGTGAGGGGATTGAGTTCACCGTCTATGACAAGGTCCGGATTGAACCCAAGGATAGCTCGTTCGTCTCCCATTGCATTGTCTTTTATCGATTGCTAGATGTTAATGATAACAGTGTCAAGGAGGCAATTGCATTTGCCAAGCCTTACAACCCTGACGCTTTCCTCGCCGTAGGTGAGTATCTTCCCCAAGTCATCCCTTGATCCGGCTAACCGGCCCAGGCGGTGGATCGGTCATTGACACCGCCAAATTGATGAATCTCTACACCGTCTTTCCCGATGCCGATTTCCTCGACTTCGTCAATGCGCCACTGGGCAAGGGCTTGCCTGTTAACCGGCCGCTGAAGCCTTTGGTCGCTGTGCCGACGACAGCAGGTACCGGTTCGGAGACTACAGGAACTGCCATCTTTGACCTGGTGTCCAAGAAGGCCAAGACTGGTATTGCCCATCGGAACCTGAAGCCGACTCTGGGTATCTGTGATCCAATCAACACACGGACCATGCCGTCGGCGGTCCATGCTTCTTCTGGTCTGGATGTGCTCTGTCATTCACTGGAGTCATGGACGGCGATTCCTTACAATGAACGGACACCTCGTCCGACTAATCCCATCAATCGCCCCGCGTACCAGGGTGCGAACCCTATCTCCGACATCTTCTCTCTGCAGGCGCTGAAGAGCACTGTTAAGTATCTCCCCCGGGCGGTTAAGGATCCCGATGACTTCGAGGCGCAGTCGCAGATGCTTCTGGCCGCCACGCTTGCTGGTGTTGGGTTCGGAAACGCAGGCGTTCATCTCTGCCACGGCATGAGCTACCCCATTTCCAGCCAGAACCCGGGGTATAAGCATGCTGGCTACTCTGTGGACCACCCTATCATTCCCCACGGTGTGTCGGTGGCAGTGACCGCGCCAGCTGTTTTCCGCTTCACAGCTGCCTCCAACCCAGACCGGCATCTGGCGGCCGCGGAGGCATTCGGAGTAGACATCTCGAACGTCAAGCGCGAAAGCGCTGGTGAAGTCTTGGGTGAGGCACTGGCCAACTTCCTGGTCCGGCTAGGCGATCAGCCCCGTGGTTTGAAGGACCTGGGCTTCAAAGCCGGTGACATTGACTCCCTGGTGGAGGGCACCATTCCACAGCAGCGAGTGCTGGCACTTGCGCCGACGCTGAATAAGGAATTGGAGGCAGAGAGGGCTGAGCTGCGGGGATTGCTCGAAGAGTCGCTGGAATATTAGCTTAAGTGTGTACATAGCCGAATAGTCTGAAATTGCATGGATGATTCAAATGACAGTGACCAGATGCCAAGGGCACTAATCCTGCAGCTTCCCTGCCAGCGTCCCTTGAGATTGTCGATATTGAACTGAACCAAGCCACTAGTCCCAATCAGCCGACCTTGTCATGAAGCGTATCGCATCCCCGCATTCTCACCCGCATTCCTGCAGCGATCCTCGCCCCCTTCCTGCTTATATACCCAACCTCGTCTCCATTGCCATCTCTTCGACACGCCCTCTTCCCCCTCATCACATCCACCCACCCTCACCATGATACACCACTACAACCCATCCACCTACCTCTCCATCCTCGCCTTCCTTTCCTCCCTCACCATGTCTCACCCTCAACAGCCCCTCCCACAAAACCTCCTCACCCCCACAACCTCATCAGTCACCAAAGCCGGCAACCCCGTCTTCCCGGGCTGGTACGCCGACCCAGAAGCACGTCTCTACAACGCCCAGTACTGGATCTACCCAACCTACTCAGCCGACTACAGCGAACAAACCTTCTTCGACGCCTTCAGCTCCCCGGATCTCCTCACTTGGACCAAACACCCCACCATCCTAAACATCACGAATATCCCTTGGTCGACGAACCGTGCCGCTTGGGCCCCGTCCGTGGGCCGGAAGCTCCGCTCTTCCGCCAGCGCAGCAGCAGCAGAATATGACTATTTCATGTATTTCTCCGTTGGTGATGGAACTGGTATCGGTGTGGCGAAATCGACCACCGGAAAGCCCGAGGGTCCCTATGAAGACGTCCTTGGTGAGCCGCTAGTCAATGGCACAGTGTATGGGGCGGAGGCAATCGATGCGCAGATCTTCCAGGACGATGATGGCCGGAATTGGTTGTATTTTGGGGGGTGGAGTCATGCGGTTGTTGTGGAGTTGGGGGAGGATATGGTTAGTTTGAAGGGTGATTATTTGGAGATTACTCCGGAGGGGTATGTTGAGGGGCCGTGGATGTTGAAGAGGAATGGGGTTTATTATTATATGTTTTCGGTGGGGGGGTAAGTTGTCCTTTTGTCGGATTTCTGTTTGCTTGGCTGAAAAGGGCATGCTAACGCAGCTTTGTTGTTGTTGGGATAGATGGGGCGATAATTCTTACGGAGTCAGTTATGTCACGGCTGATTCTCCCACGGGGCCGTTCTCCAGTACGCCAAAGAAGATTCTTCAGGGGAATGATGCGGTGGGCACGAGTACGGGACATAATAGTGTGTTTACCCCCGATGGACGGGATTACTATATTGTTTATCATCGTCGGTATGTTAATGACACGGCTCGGGATCATCGCGTGGTTTGTATAGATCGGATGTATTTTGATGAGGATGGGGAGATATTGCCGGTTAATATCACGGTGGATGGTGTTGACGGGAGGACATTATCTTAGTTTATGACCTACTGACAGGAGTATAATAATTGAAGGAGAGTGTTGTCGATACACTAGAGAGATTTCTTATGGGGAGGAAATATATTCAGTTAAAGATGAGGATAATATACTCACTTGAAGAGGACAAATATCCACCGATGGCCTAATGAAACTGAGCACAGAAGGGAAGCATTTCAAGTCATGTGTCACTCGAAGTACAAATCGCTGTTATAACTGTATGGGGAACCCTTTCACCAATTTGTCTTTTAACAGAACTTGTATGAGGTCCTAATCAGCTAAACATCATGGCGATATACCTTCGAAGTGATGCAGGATACAAAAGGAAAAGACATTTTAAGATATCAGCATATAGGTCTCAGGTCTTCGAGATCCTCGAGGGGGTCCTCAAGAGAGAAAATCAGAGAAGGAAGGCCTAAGGTCAGGCTCCAGACAGCAGATAATCTGGTGAAGTGCCTGGCTACGGTGAATGCCTCTACGAACAAGGTGCGTCTCCACATTATTCTAGCTTCCACACCTACTTTCCGGAATTATATGGACCACAGGCAATATCCGTCCGTTTATCCGTGACGCGACGCGATTCAGTCAAACCAGCCGTGTGAGTTCACTCACCTTATGGAAGATACCAATCGTTAGTTTCCAAGCTAAATGACTACCAGGAACATACCTGACCTAGCTGAGCACATCAAGCGGAAGGTACATAACCCCAGCAAACCCAGACGAGCCAGTATATAAAGCCAATGCATCCTACATCGGCGATCCTCTACCAAAACCCAAGCCCCAAACCTTAAATAGCTCAATCCTCAACCCTACTCCAAAATGTCCACAGCCGAAATCAAATACCCTCTCGAGGGAAACACACGAATCGAGATCGAGGTGAGCAAAGTGCTTGACGACGCCAAGATCCCCAACTTCATCTGGGGCCAAGGCGTGCATCTCATGATGGGCATCAAAGATAAATGGGATACACCCGGCTGGGTAGTCCGCGACAAAGACATCCAATTAGCCGCATATGTCTTGAGTTGTACCTTCCACACAGGAAAACCCTATTCCGCACGCAAGCCCGAGGAAAGAAAAACCCCCACGCCGGGGGAATACTGCTTCGAGTACGGAGTGTTCGGGGTGCAAGAGATTCATCTTCACAAGAAGAGTAGTCGATGCCCTAGTTTCCCTGACCCTCCTTTAGATAATCCGGGCAAAAATGACCAGTATTACATGCTCACTTCGGATAGACGCCTACCGGTGTCGCATATTGTCAAGGTGCGCGATATGCCGGAGGAGAATTACTATTCTGTGAAGATGCCCGTGCCGGCGAGATACGTGGAGAATCTTGTACTATTCTGCGCGTGGAATCTGGCTGTGGTGGATATTCCGGACCCTTATTATGATACATTGGTTTATCTGGCGAGGGGGATGGGATTGGATAGTACGAATTACTCGTATGTTGAGCCGAAGGAGTTGCAGCCTCCGTTTGATAGGTTCATGAAGATACTGGATCTTGATGCTAGTAGACATGGCGAGGAGGGTCTTAAGAGGGATCTGTGTCATCGCAGGTCTTATCGGTTTCTGTGTGAGATTCTCATGGCATTGAGGAAGATGAGGCAGGTTCAGCGGGACATGAATGAGTCACTACGCTACTGGCCGCCGATGGAACGGGGGCTAGAAGCTAAATGTGAGGCTATGGAATTGGAATATGAAGATCCACAGGACCCGGACGAGACGCCGATGCTTCATCATGATTTGGTTGCGGCGTTGGCTAGTAAGAAGTGGAGGTATTCTCCGGTTGAGTGTGCTAGCACGTAGACTGCTCCTGACTGCTAGGATATATGTCTATGTGGTTGGAATGTCAATGCGAATTACGCAGGGCTGCAATGGCTAGTTATGGAATACATTCCCCATCTATATTACCCAACACAGAAGTATACATCATCCCTAAGATATAGAAAACCCACCCCAAGAACCTAACCTACTTCCCCCCCCCCCCCCTTAACCCCATCCCCATTTCCACCCCGTCCACTACTACTACTACTACTACTACTACTACTACTACTACTACTACTACTCCTCCTCCTCCTAAGCCACCCCTCCCCCCTCTTCCTTCCCGCAAACCCCATCGCCGCATTTCTAATAACCCTCCACTCCAACACACTCCTCTTTCCCAGAACCCCCTTTCCATTTCCATTCCCATCATCCTCATCCCTCTTAATCGCCTCCACCGCCCCCCTCACCCAAGAAACAGAATTCCACCCTTCCTTCTCTCCCCTCTCCTCCCCCCGCCAGGAACCGGAACCCCATTCAAAGGAGAGGTGGTGGAGGGTGGTGGGTAGGTGGGTAGGTGGGTAGGTTTGATATCACATGGATAACCCCCTTGTCATCTTAGGTTGGGAAAGTAGCCGCCGGCCTTGTTTGGGTTTGCTACTAGATCTCGATTTAATATGCTTACCATGGAGTTGGTGTTTTGTGTATGGTTTGATGGTTTGTTGAGGTATTTCTACTTTACTGCAGCCTGTGTGGCTATCACCGTAGGATATTCTTCATTTTGAGAATGAAATGCAATGTTACTAAATGCCATCACCTGTACCTATCGAAGCGAATATTGATTGAAAGAAGCGAAGTCCGAGCACAAAAAGGACAAATCTATGTACAAGAAGAAATGCAAGCTGGGTATCAAAAACATGTACAGGAACAGAACCATTAACTAAAACATCGAACTCCTTTTCTTGCTCAGCTTCGCCTCATCAGCTGATGACCGTCGTAATCGAAAGAAACTACTTTTCTTAGGCTGTAATGCCGGTGACGATGCCGCCGGTCCTGGTGTCTCCGCTGGCAAGGCAAATCTCACGGCTGATTGGCGCCGCGGATCCAAGCCTGGGGCAGTCATGTACGGGCCTGCCTGTGGCCGTTGACGACCGTCTTGATAAGGATAAGAGTAATGGGGCTGGTTGGCTGGTCGTAAGGGGAGGGTTTGTTCGGGCTGCTGTGGACGAGGAGGCAGCGATGGCGTCTGTCTGTGTCTGCGTACTTGGTCTTCTTCCTGTCCGTAGAGCATCTGGAGACGGCGAGTTTCCCGATCGATTTCGGCTTGTCGCTCTGCCTTGCGTCTGCGACGCGCCTTTTCCTCTTCTTCGAGCAGTTGCTGGGTGCGTCGTTCTTCTTCTTCGCGTTGGCGGTTGGATTTAGTGGGCGGCTGTTGTGGTGGTTGGGGTTGCGGTTGGGGCTCGGGCCTTGGTTGGACGGCATTTAATGCCCCTGATGCTGCGGGGACGGACGGGAGGGGCTTGGAGTTTGTCTTGGTCGGGGAGGGTGTACTCGACATGTGGGCGGGTTTGGTGACGTGGAATGCGTCTTTCATCGAAGTAAAGTATACGTCGCGGATGGTAATAGCGCCAAGGAGGAGAACAACTTCGAGGCCTTTGAAGTCTTCCATTTCCACGCGGTAAAGATTCGGTTCGTAGAGGGTGAGTTCGCGGAGCCCCTTGAAGATGGATACGGTGATATCGGGCTCTTTGCTTTTCGTCTTGGATTCGGGAATCGTGGTCGTCTTTCCGGACAGGAGACAAGTCAGGTCTTTGGACAGTTTGCTGTCCTTGCGCCAGGTGAAGCGCAGTTTCGGGGTGGTGTCAGCAGAAGCCGGGTCGGGATGGGTACGGTCGAGGGTAGATGCGGAGGGCTGTCGGAAGCTGTGTTGAGGCATCTCGAAGGTCCAGGTCGCAGGGCTGTTCCAGGTTTTGGGCTTGAAATGCACCGTCACTTGCTGGTCGGGGTTGTAGAGGTTGATGGTGAAGCGGGAAGGAAGGATAGGTTCTGGAGGGGGCGGAACGCCGCCATTCTGGCGGATGGCCTCCGCAGAGAGACTAGGTTGAGTCCATTCCGGGATGATCAGGACCTCGCCGAAGAGGATGTCGGAAACGTAGGGGTCGTAGAGGGCGGAGGCATAGCGATTCTGTGAGGAGGGGGAGGAAGGATCCGGGTAGCGGAGGGAGTAGACAGGTTCCGGATCGTTTCCGTGCTGGCAGAGATAGATGCTCCAAAGCTTGGATTGCTTGTTGTGCTTGAGATAGAAGGCTGCTCGGGTTAGCAAGCGACGTCAAGTAGGGGAGAGTGGAGTCAGGGGAGTGATGCTAAGAAAAGGGAAGAAGGGAGACATACTGGGAAGGTTCTCGTCTAGCATTTTTAGATCTGGGCCGGGAGGGATTTAATTCAACGGGAATTTCTGCGCGACCCGTGGTCCGAATGCCATTGGGTTCGTCTTATAAGAAATGCGAGGCGAGATGCTTCGAAAGAAAGGGCGACTTAAAGAAGAAAGAAAGACGTCGAGGATGAGGCCTAGTGGTGCCTCAGGCAGGAAAACAAGTACGGGGCACTGCCCCACCGCTATAAATAACACCCTCGCCCAGGTACCGTCCGGTATTGCCATGTGCCTTGGCAGGCAATTTAGCTGGGGAGATCCATTGCGGTACGGAAAAGTACCAACGATCTGCGTACCCAGCAGTATTGTGAGTGTACTGTAGGCAGCCATCATCGGATGGTTTGCAGTTTCATATGGTATGCAGACCCCATTCAAGGGTCCCAATCATGAAGGATCTCCGGTGGTGACGAAGCTGCCGATCTCCGGACTATCTCTTAGTCGGTCAAGTCGCACTGCCTCTTTTCGAGCTTCTCTCGCAAAAGAAAAGAGTAAGCCTTGCAGGCAGATATTTTTCGTGCCTTGATATGCAGCGTATCTATCCAACTTCAATCATCTGGATTGCTACATGGGCCCGGGAGCAAGCAAGCAAGCAAGGCACAGCAATCCACTTTAGACAACCATACTCAACTATCAATGGGACTCGTCTTTGCTTCGCCTGTATAACACAGACTACTAGACCCCAGCACCACGATGAGGTGCGAGTCCATGCTGGGGGCCTGGAGTCCGTTAGCCAAGCGGATAACGCTGACGTACCTCTGTATGGTGACGCGTGGGCAGCCATCGAATGTTCTTGGCTATTAGTATGATGCTTCGGAATCTGGAGATTTGGTTGCATATACCCGTTGTTTGTTGTTAGGTTTTCTGGTGTGGCGTGGAGGCGTATGTGGTGAACACGCATGATTTTGACATGAGCTCGCAACAAAGTTATTCGATACATCACTGTGAGAGACTTGCTAGAAACATAGTGCTGGTTGATCGGTGATGCGCGTTGATGTTGTCTGGAGATGGATCAGTGATCACTGCTATTGGGTTCTTAGAATTAGAGGGAGTGTATCAATAAGATATGGCAGCCAGTATGGTCAGTAAGCGATGTCGGTGGATTACCCGGCATGTCTTTATGAGATACAGCTCTGTATATGCATGGGAAGAATCAATTTGTCTGTGAAAGACCATCCATTCATTCAAATAAATGCTATGCGATGACCATTCTTATAGATCTACCTGCAGTCGATTACCGATGCACTTCATTGTGCAGCTTCTGACAACAATCATTGTTCCAACATCGTGGGTAAAAAAGAGCAAGACAAAGAGCAATGTGGTCAACTCATAATCCAATGCTTCAGATCTTTGATCTAAACCTGTATATCGGCATCTCCACATCACGCTCTATACTCTACAAAGAACTGACAACAAGGGAATCTATACTCGAACACCATCTACCTCTGTACCTTCCGGCACCTTGGCCGCCTCCCGCTCGGCAATACTCAGCTGCAAGCCTTGGTCGTCCCATCCCTGAGTACCTTTCTTGTACAGCGTCTTCTGCTGCTCGCGGTCTGGCATGGGTCCAGACTTCCCGCGTCGCTCACGCGATTCAATCGTCTCCACTAGAGATGCATTGTCTCCGTCCAGCTCATATCCCTCAAGGTCATCTGTGTGAACTTCCTTTGTGAATTCGTACGTCCGGTACTCGGTGTTGACCCATCCGGTTCCTATATCATCGTTAGCCTTTGTCTACACTTGACACATGCAGTCTTTCAAAGACATACCCTGGTACTGGCTGCTATCCTCCCAATCCTCGGTGAAGTAATGCAGGAAACCTCCGTGGGTGACAATCACGATCTCCTTCTCCGGTCTCGCCTTCAGCCAGCGGCGGGCTGCCCGCGCCCGCTCCTTGATGGCCTTGTGAGTAGGTGCATATTTGCCTTGCTATATGGTTGTACCACGCCACTGGTCAGCTGAACCGAACCTATCGCCACTTAGGGAAAAGAACAACCCACCTTGTTGTTCCAACCGTCATGCACCAAACCCAAATCAATCGGGACGTTCTTCTCCTCCATCTCCTTGCGTAGCACCTCCGGGTCGCTTCCCGTGTCGCAAGCGACGTCACTCGTTTCCTGGGCATCAGGAAGAGCGATCATCTTCATGTCTGGATGTGACTGGAACACGGGCTCGAAGCTCTGCAAGGCAGTGTAGATAGTGCGACGGAGCGGGGAGGCCGTGACGAGGTCGACCTGAGTGTGGCGAGGAAAGCTATCGCGGAGTTTACGACATTGTTCGTTGCCGAGATCGGTGAGAAGGGGGTCGGGGATGACGTGGTTGGCGACACAGAGGTTGTGCTCGCCCTGAGAGAAATTGTTAGCGACCGCGTCGGTCGGGGAGAGAGCCGGTGGATATATAGGCGTACCTGGGCGTGACGGACGCAGTGGATAATGGGAGGCATTGTGTTGGTTGCGGCGACTGTAGACGAGGACGCGAGTTAGCAGGAAGAAGAGCGAAAGGGCCGGAGTCGAGGAAGGGAAGAATGGAGCACAAACGTGGGGTAGCGGGGCTCGGTGATGAACAGGGTGCAAGCTGCAATCCTTTAGCGTCTGTCGAACGGGACTCCGTGCACGATATTCTTCCTCGAGGGATTCTGTTAAGGTTGTTGAGGAGAGACGGTCGGTTTATATGGGTCCCGCGAAGAACGGCCGTCCCAAGACGTCTGCCAATCCAAGCGGACCACTGCACACCGTGTCGCCCAACCGGTCAAATCCCTCCATCGCCATGACTCAAATGGGGGGCGAAGCCATCCGGAGCAGTGATTCCTTGCCCAGACCCGAGGGGTCCGGTCAGCGGGCTGATCACATGGAGATCAAAGATTTCAAGGAGAAAACAGGAAAGAGACAATTTGGTCTCTGGTGTTACTCCAGAGATAACAAGGTGGGAAGAAGCGAACGGAAGTCGGATTTGGCTGTGGCTGTTGTTCCTCAATACGGGCTTCCCGGCAAACTTGCCCGACCGACCACTACTATATCCACCAGGCAACTCGGGCGAATATTATCATTATTTACAGTCCATCTAATGAATTTGGGGGAAGAACGACCGCTTGGGAAATTAAATTCGTCCATTTGCCAGATGTGGCACCGGCCACAATCAGACTAATACTATCTATGTAGAATTGGGTATGTCAAGCACGGCATATACAGCAAAGGGTATGTCCATTCCAAAAACCGAGACCATCCAAACCAGTCCCCGAAATCAAGCAACGCCAAAGCCCCGGGCGTTCTCCAACGCCTTGCTCAACTTTTCCTCTAGGACACTACGGGAGGAGTATTCCGGCAACAGGAGGCGTCCGAAGCAGGTCAGACTCGTGGGAAGGCGCTGCAACAATCAGTACTCTGCTCTGCAACATGGAAGGCGACATCACTTACAGCATCTCCTACTCCATTCTTCTGAATCACAAACATGATGCTCGCAATCCCATTAACCGGTACCCGATCGCTGGCAGTGACAAACTCCAACAGCTGCGCCTTCTTCTCGGCTGGATACCGCCGTACAACACTCCAGAAGTCCCTGATCACCCGGTGGCTGGGGTCAAACCCACCCTCATACCGTGCGTGGCGCTCCAACTCCCGGATGTCAATTGTCTGAATTCCCTCGACCACAGTCTTCAGTGCCTCCGGTGTGAAAATGGAGAGGGCCGTCCGGTCGAGGCAGGTGTAGAACCCCTGAGCAAACGCCTCGAACTGAGGCCGGACAGACTTATCCGTTAGCCAGAAGATGTAGTCCTTGACGAACTGGGCACGGTTGCTGTTGGTCACCAAGCTGGCCTCGTCGGCGGGGGGTGTTGGCGACTGGGCTGGGACAAGCGTGTCAATCGGTTTCGTGGCTTCCCCATACGAGCCCGCTGTCTCTGCAGCCATCGAAGACGGGGGGCTGAGGTCGGCGTGATCAGCAAAATGGCGGACCTCTGACCATGGAGGCGAGTACCCAAGGGACCGCGACCCGCTCCTGGCACGGGATGGCATGGACGACACAGGCCAGGGAGCATCTTTGTCCACCTTTTGCATGTCGACTGTTTCTACAGCCCCAAAGGCCTCGAAGCTAAATTCGTAGGTCCGCATGAATATGTCGCCCACATCCCCATCCTCCCATGTAAGCAGATCCCCCAATCCCTTGCTAAGTTCTGGCCATCCGTCCTGGATGTGCTCTAGGTGCTTCACCTTGAGTCCGAGTAGCTTGCGGTAAAAGGCAGTCGGGAAGTTAACCGGGAGCGTGAGACCATTATACACAGCCAGAGACATAAGGAGTCCAAGCAGCTCGAACTTGTACAAGGGCTCCCACGAACAAGGCTGGAACCATGAGACCCGCGTCCGCGCGTCCGTCGTGAACATGCCAAAAGACGGATCCAGTGCCTCTGCCATCAGAACCCGGAAGAATTCCTGTTGAACACCACCGTGGTCAAGACCCTCCTCACCTTCATCCATACCCATTTGTACCTTCAGTGGCCGCATAAGCTCCCGTCTTTCGCGGCGCCAGAGCTGATTGAGAGCATCCATAAGAATATTGTCGCGCCGGACCATTAGCACTAGATATGTAGACATCGACGTCTTTAACTGTGCGAGTAACCCGACATCATCCTGAACCTGGATGGGGCCAAAGGCCGTTTGTGTCACGTGTCTTGTCGTAGTCATAGCGGCTTCGTAGTACTTGGACATGGCCGCGTAGTTGAGAGCTCGGAAATAGATCACCAACGCTGACGGAGGGAAAAGAAAAGGATAGGACAATAGATGCATTGTCTTGTTGTTCGGAAGGCTACCCATCCACTCCACAGGCATGTCCAAAGGTTCCAACCTGTCGGAGAGAAACGGGGTGTGGAAGTCTTCGGGTACCAGGCCCAAACGACTGCGCTCCTTGTACAATAATGACAGAATCTGCACGGCACCTCCAGCCGAACTGCTTTTCGACAGTTGCGGGTTACCATCCCATTCTTTGAGGAGAAGGGTGCGAAGCCATTCAGCAATGAAAGCAGGCGCGCCAGGAGGGGGCGTATGATCCATGTCGCCAATGGCCGCTGTCATAGCCCCGTAATGCTCGCTGAGGTTGTTCACAATCAAATCCAGGACGCTGTCCTTACGCTGTTTTGGCAAGTCGCGGGAGTACACCTGTCGCGCTTTTGAAATTTCGTGGAACGCCAATCGTGCCGTGAGAGCGCGTACTAAGCGATCAAGTAGCCGAAGGGCCAGCTCATGTTCAAGCATATCAGTTGTTTCTACCACAAGACGGGCCCTGGGTATCGACAGCTTTTGCATGTCCGAACTCGAAGATACGCCCCCGGCCGCGCGCATTTGGAGAATCGCTCGCCATGTCGGTGCATCTATCTCGGGAAGAGAGCTAGCCAGGGCAAAAATGGCGAGTGTAGCAACATCAGCAGCATTGGCATCAGTAAAGTGCTCATTGCCCTCCGAATCGGATCGACGAATGATCGGTGCGCTGGATGCGGCGTTCGTCAAGTTGCTAGAAGAACGGCGGGAGAGTTTACCTGACATCGAAAGCTCCTTTGGTGGGATGAATAGTGTCTCCGTAGCGCCCCAGAGACTGTGAAAGACAATATCCCGGGGACAGATGCGGAGTAACTTACGGAGCGATGGCTGTAATTGTTGGAGATCAAGCTTAGGCTTAGAATGGCCCTCATTCATTCCAGTCGGTCCGGCCGATTTCTGGCGGAATGAGAGAAGGAGTTGCTTGGTATTCCCCAGTGCATAGAAGACGCTCTGTGAAACGAAGGAAAACACTTCACGCTGACGGGGAGTCGCAAAGCGCCACTCTGACTCCTCGAAGCTCCCGGTGGATTCCATGTACGTCAGCTCGCCCTTCCACAGTTCTGCCTCGTCCTCAGAGAGTATCATCATTTGTGTCATGCCGTCAATTATTTCGTCCGTCAAATGTGATAAGGATTGAATGCTTGAAATGGCTTTGTTCTGACTTGAACTCCGGCGCTTCGGTTTCCGGGCACTGGGAGACTCTGTCTCCGGAGGAGGTTGTTCATCGCTCTGAGGCTCGGGCTTCTCGGATTCGTCGAGCAGGACATTGTTGAGATACTTCGCGCCATCCCATGAGACACGCCGCCCTTTCTTCTGCTGCTCCTGCGGAAGGGGATAGTTTCCGTCTGCTGTTCTCCCTCGATGCTTCTGCGGACGATGCCGTAGGGCGGGTGGCGAAGGTACATTGTGTGTTTCATCGCCATTGACGTGTGTGTTCACAGTGAGCTTGCGGGCGGGTTTCAGCTCCTGATATGATTTCTCCTCCAAACTTGTGCGTGGGTTCTGGCGCCACTGGTCCACGTCCGTGAGCGACAGTCGCTTGACCTGCTGGTTAGGAAGTTTCAACTCCAGCGCAGTCAGCTGACCATTCCCATGGCGCGATGAGGGGGTTTGGGGAGCCGCAGTCGCAGACACAGTATGTTGGGGTGTTCGTTGTCGGGTTAAATTTAGCCTAGGTTTATCCGAGTATGGCTGTGTTACATCGTAATCCGGCTTTGGTGATCGAGACTCCGGACGGGTGTCTATACGATCTGAGTCCGGACCGAGCGAACTTGGAGAGCGTCGTAGAGGTAACCATTCTATCATCCTGAGCGATAAGGTATCGAACAAGTTCTGAGTGAACGACTTCGGGTCTTTCATTCGTTGTGTTGCAGGTGTCTCCTCCGGCATAACCGCCGTCAGGTCCTGGGATTCCACACATGGAGATAAACTTCGACCATTTCGATCATTAAAGCTGGAAGAATGTACGTTCCGAACCGGCGATGGCCTTAGCACCCCATCCAGGCCAGTATGGTCCCCGCTCCGTGACTCAGTACGTTCTCTCGCTGGCTCGTTCGAAGGCAAGGTACGGTTCCGTCGTTTCGATCGGCGTTGAGATTCCTGGGGTGAAAGCTCACAAGGAACCCGAGAGAGATTGCGACACAAACCGTCCTCTGCGTTATCCAAGCTCGCCAAGTAGCAAGCCAGTGTGCGGGCGCTCAGCTCAGTATACCGACGAAATGGTCCCTCCGTAACGCGTTTCCGATAACTAGCGCAAGTTGGTGTCTGACAGCCAGGATCTTGGCAGCCGTAGAGGAGTTGATTCTTATACCTAGAAGCGTTCCCGTCAGCGGGGCCAGCGCACGCACGGCGTCATAGACGTTACCTGCGGACCAGAAGGTTGAACTGGCGACGGCGTTCATCTCGGCACCATAGAAGAACCTGCGCGGGATCCGAGACGTCCACCGTATTTTGAGCGATCACGTCGGGGGCGTTGGGAGGTAGTTTGGAGCGGTGAAACTGGGGTCGGTCGATGCCTCCATGCGAAACCTCATACGAGCTCACGGAAGCTCCGCGGAGCCTGGTCATCTTGACAGACTGCGGAGCATGCCGCAGCTAGCGATCGAGGAAAGACAGTGACTTGACAAAGCACTCTATTTGTTTGTAGGTCTGCGCAGCGAAGATAGGGGTCAAACTCGAGGCGAAGATGGTTATGTGACTCGTTATTTCCGGGGTCTGGGGGTCTTGCGAGGCTGATATCACGAGCATTTGGGGGGGCCTCAGGCGCCAAGACCAGCTCGGGTGATGAGTCAGCCAGTGGGGACACCAAGGAATACACTAGTCCCCATCCGGATAGTCCGTTCTTGCTTGTGATCACTCGTACCCTCCAAGTCCAATCTCCCTTCGAGATATTATTAGCTTCAGTGGGCCCTGTTGTACAAAGGATATAGAAGAGGGCTCCTTGTCACTATAGAGCAGACTACAGCAAGACAGATGTTGCCGGTGATGCAAGGGGGGCACCTACGCAAGACAATTTCGCTATTGACTAGTTTGGTAAAGGAAAGCGCCCGCCATAGACCCTTACAGGTCCTTGAATACATGAGTAACACTAGGACTCAAAGTATGTGGTTTTCATACTAATTGTACTGAAGTGTAACCCCCGGCCTATGCTTCGTAGACTCCCAAGAATTGCTAATCACTAAATCTTGTTCAAATCCTGTAAAGGGTGCTTTGCGTGGACAAAAAGGAAAAGCCATATGGAGCGTGAGCGTGTGGATGAGCTTCAGCTCCTTGATAGAGCAATTATGAGAATGGTACCTCTCGAGCTACGAAAACTTGGACTGGCATTATCATTACAATGGGGTATATATTTGGATGGTACTAATAAACATTGTTCATCCTTCAATCCATCAAGCATACAAACCATCGCAAAGTTGAACCTAGGTACTGTAACAATCGGACACACCTGCATTCGCATCATAACATGGGAAAAACCTCGAGAGGATAAAAGCCCATGTTGAGGCATCTGACCACAAACACAACGCATCTAGCTACTAGGAATCGTAGCACCGTGACTCTGGAGATATTCCTGGCACTTCTCAGTCGTGTTGTTGAATTGCCTGGTCCACTTGAAGTCGACTTGGCTAGTGATAACGTCGGCAGACACAGTGCCCGATCCAGTCAATTCGGTTGGACTGGAGAACCACTCCATGGCATGAATCGCAACATATCCATCCACATGGGTAGGTGAGTAGTTTTGCCAACCGCCAACCCGATTCAGTTCAGCCCACGCATCATTGATGAACCACATCCACGTCTTGAACCGGTATACCTTCTGGTAGAGATAAGCGGTCGTTCCGGGTGGAACGGTGATCTAGGTCTTGCTGTCGGTCGTCTCGGTCTGGGAAAACGTCTTGGTAGAAGCTCCGATTCCAACGCTGAGACCTTTGAATTCGAGTCCAAGGTTTGCATTCAGTTCCTTCTCAGTGCCAACAGTGACCTTGAGCTCGTGGTATATGACACCGTAAACGTGTCCTCGGTGGAAAGGTTTATTTTTGAAAGACGTAATCTTGTCCCAGTAATATCCATCAGAGTTTATGTTGGTGATTGCATATCAATATTCTCCTGAATCTTCCGGGATAGCGTAGAGAGTCTTCTTGACCTCGCCGGCCAGAGGAGTACCTTTGACTGTATACTCGCGGTGGTCGTAGCCGGCTCCAGATCTCCAGGGCATGTCAGGCATTTTGTGCTGTATAATAATGATCAGCAAGATAGTTGGAGCTTAGGGGAATTGTCCACCTACAATGAAGTGATGCGGTGAATATCTTGGTTGTTTTCGTTAAGATGGTCGAAGAAAAGGAATTACTTAAGAGGATTGAAACAGAAGATTTTGCGATGCTCTGGAGTTGAGTCTACAATCACCAGGGTGGTTTGCAATATTTATGTCTAACATATCAGCAGCCCTCATCATGATTATCGGACCTCAGCAGCCACAGTCCGCGTCCCCCAAGGCTTCCATCATCTTCAGCTCCTCTTACTACTTACTTCGGTGACTCCAACTCAAAGCCCGATGACCCCACAACACTGTCAGGAATAAACAACCTCATGATCAATTTGCTGTTCCTACCTGGTTGCTCTATTCACAGCTCAAATCCCGAGGACTTGCATGACTGTGAGGTAGCAGGTACAACTGATTACGTTGGTGATTCTAACCTGGGATTGCGTTTTCTGTAGCTGAGATCTCGATGTCTCCGCAGCAATATCAGTGATGTAGATACCCCGGCCCTTTGATGCACATGACCTGCCATTATACTAGTGGATGTGGCAAGTTGGCTCTCGTCGCACGATTTGCCCTAATTGCACTAATGCAGGTGACGATTCAACTTCGTTCGTATTCGGAAACCCCTCGAGTCCTTCAAAGACATACATATCAAGTGGCGTCGCATCAAAGAGCATCTGAAGGGAAGGGTCAACAGCAAGTGTATCGAGACGCATGCCCGTGTTATTATACTCCCTTGGTAATTGTGCCGTGCCCGGGACACTTGTCGAGGAAGGTTCCCCACTGCAGTAGGGGTAGCTTGTGACTGATACATAATCCGGTCAAGTACTTCCAAGCACCGCGCTGCAGCTTGATTCTTCTGGCTCAAATTAGCGAGGCAGTCACGCGATCTCTCTATGGAAAATATCCAGAGCTCGTGATTTTCCGCCGCCAAGCTTCAATCCAACGGCTCCTTTGGTCGGAGATGATAGATGCTGAGAACGACGGATGCCTGGAAGAGGAAGTATGTCGCGTACCAGCATAGGCCGAAATGTAGCGTATCCGGATAGTCAACACAGAAGGTAGTGATATCCTGGATACAATCTACGGCGGCATAGTGGCACATATTTCGGGCTTCTTCGCTGTCTGACGGAGAACCGCATATACGCTGAGTTCCCCACCATAGCATCATTCGCAGGTTTTGTTCCTTCAGCTGACTATTGCTCAAGGTCCGCGGAACCATGTTGGGACATCGTGGGCCGTGAAGTAGAGCGGCACTGAGAGTCTCCAGGCCTTGAGCTGATGATCGAGTGATCGTGGGGTCTTCGTATCTAGGTCCTTCTTTGGACCTGCTATCATGTTACAAAATACGGTGTTTCCGATGCGTGATAACCGAGCCTGTGCTATTATCGCGGAGTATGTAGTTGGTTTGTCTATGGGGAGTGGGGCTATGGAATCTAAGGGTAAGTCTGATGGTGATCAGTTAGCTACGACTTTGGTCTCTTTGATTTAGCTTGAAATCAGTTACCGAGTCTTCGATATTGCGAGGGAGTTCGGTTTCGATGAAACAGTCCGACAACATCAGGGGCCTTCCTGTAGTCAGACTAAATCCGCTGTCAAATGAGTAAACAATCCACCACACGACTCTTCTTCTTTCGCTACTCAAGGTGTCGTGCGTCGATTCCCTCATTGGTTCACGATGGAGGCCCAGTCCAAGAGCCATTCAATATGCTATTCCAATGAAGTTGTATCCGGTATTTGGTCGATCCCGTTTTTGGAGAGAATTCCCCTGTGCCATTTAGCATTGAAACATGCTTGCGATATACACCGACGCGCATCAAGCTGACCAACCATCAAGAAGAACGCTTGAACTGTGAGATGTGCACCCGACTCCAGCAGACTTATTGACATACTCAATCGTGCAGCCATGTAATATCTGGACTCCTCTACTTTGGAGCCACCGGATATCACCCAGTCACCGATTGCCAGAACAATATAGCAAATCAAGTGCCATGTGGAGTGAGGTGGGGTATGATGGCGGTTCTGGTACTTCTCTCTGAACGTCTGTTCATGTAGAATGGGAAATGATCTGTTATACCACCCGGAATAGGCGTCCAATTGGGAGTCGGTGAGGATAGAGTTATCAAGTTCCCTCAGAATGTGCGGACTCGCTAATTTGGTCGAGTTTGCAGGGTGTCCTCTTCGGGTAAACAAAGGAGCAGGATGCTCGGGTAGTAAATCTGAGATGGTTTCCAGTATACATGACCCAGATGAGTTTCCTGAAAAAAACCACCATCAATCTCATTCATGAAAAGATCTTCGAGCCACTTATCTAAGTAACCGGATCCGGACCCTTCGGTTGGCAGTGATGCCATTCCATAGAGAGACTTGTTTGGCGGATGAGACGAGGTCATTGGACCCTCGTTCCATTCAAAGTTCTCTAATGGGGTGGGACTCTTCGCACCAGGGCTTACACCTAGCAAGCTGTTGTGGTCGGTTTCATTAGTATCATGCCCCTGTCCGGCCCCTGCTAATTCCTTCAGTGCTTCTTCGATGTCGATGTTCGGACCCAAATTTCGGACAAGGGTCATCAACTTCTCACAAAGCTGCTCCTTCTCTTCAAGGTTCCTACGTATATACTGAGAATATGTTTCTATGGTACACAGGGGTCTACACTCACTTGCGAGTCAATGGTGTCCGTGATGGTACACGCTCGAAGCGACATCGTTTTTGAGTCCACGAGCAGTAAGAGCATGGGGCTGTTCCAGAACACTTGGCAGTAAACTATTAGTATGAAAATAGCTAGCAGTTCCTAGATTAGCCCTCAGGGCCATACCTTGCTCTTTCGTCTCTTGGAGCATGTCAGAACTGTATTAGCCACCTGGGATAGCCGTTAGGTATATGTTGGGTTCATTCTTACCCGGCACTCCACACACTACTCGCCTTTAGTCCAACGACAGGCTTCTTGCCAATGTAGACGACTTACTGCCCGAAGCTTCTGTGTCTCTGATTTTAGTCTCGTCCGGTTTGCCATTCTGGTAATTGATTTGGGGCAGGAATGCCTTACATCAACATAAGGTTTATGCTCTAGTGATCGTTGTGGTCGGCCCGCAGTCGTCCGAAGACCCGGCTGGATCGATCCACGCAAGTTAACTTCTGATCTAGAGATGCCAAAGACGCCGTTTTTGAGAGCTTATTTTGACGCTTAAGACGTTAAAAAAGGGTTTATCTTGATATCTCACATTAGTACAAAGAGCTCCTCGCTCTGTCAATGTCTGGATAGTCTTGGATAGCTCTGGGAAATCAGTGTGATGTACTCCTGGATGCGGTTCTCTGGTCGTTCATTCGCCGGTCCATCTATGGACATCTGCCACCAAGCTCGCTGAAGAATGCTTTCGGAAATACTCGCTCTCTTGACTAGCAAACCTCAGATACTAAGCGTCGCAGTCAGCCTTTGTTGAGAGGCCCGAACGGTACAGTTGCAACGTGATTGGCCGAAATCGTGGTGCTCAATTGAGAGGATAAAGAAGTCGTGCGTCAGCACTAGCGATAGTGGCCGTTGCTCTGGCATCATGCGATCGGGGAAGAGTGTTTTCTTTCCTGATTATATCCAGCTCATCAGAGTAGCTTGATATTTCAAAGTCACTGGGAGTTATTGCTGTTAGATTAGCGCCGTGCAACGCCGCAGAGTTACTGCTACTAGATTTCGGACGTTAGGAATCAGTCCAATGACAGCCCGTGGGCTTACGCATGGAAAGCACGAAGGATTCACTAAACCTGCCCCCAGTAAGAACCCCATGAGATCCAGGGGTTTAAAAGGCGCAACTGCCCAGCCTGGCACTCATTCAAACTTTCCGAGCTACCTATCTGCAACACCATTTCCGACACCGCGTTGTCCGGCACGGTCGCATAGCGCAAGGAGCTCGTCTCCGCTTCATCTATATCTTCGTGTTTAGCAGCTCCGGTCGGAAGTCGCCGGAATTCAATCGGCCTGCGTTTACAGCTCGCAGCGGTGCACACAACATGGAGGCCAACTCTCCCAGCTTCGCGTCGCCGCTCGCTAGCGTTCGAGCCAGCAACTTGCACATTCCCTCCCAATTCGAGGGTGTCGTTGATGCCATCAGCAATGCGAGCCCGTGGACTATCGCCTTTACCATTCTCGCGGTTCTTGTCGCTTATGACCAAAGTATGTCTTTTGACCGTTGATTATGATTCACTCGATCGGTCCTAAAATGGCTTGCCTTTCAGTCATGTACCTCATAAACAAAGGCAACATCGTGGGCCCGGCCTTCAAAATACCCTTTATTGGACCGTTCTTGGAATCGGTCAACCCCAAATTCGAGGAATATTATGCCAAATGGAAAAGTGGCCCGCTCAGTTGCGTGTCCGTCTTTCACAAGTTCGTTCCCCTGGCGCATACAACTCGTTAGCATAGACCAGACTAACAAATCCCGGTCCAGGTTCGTTGTGATTGCCTCAACCCGTGATTTGGCTAGGAAAGTGTTCAACTCCCCGACCTACGTGAAACCCTGCGTTGTGGATGTCGCCCATAAGCTTCTGGGAAAGGAGAACTTTGTCTTTATGGATGGGAAACCACATGTGGATTTCCGCAAGGGCCTCAACGGTCTTTTCACAAGGAAGGCACTGCAGTCTTATCTTCCTGGCCAGGAGGGTGTCTACAATCAGTACTTCGAGCGCTTCCTTGGCATCACGCAAAAAGCCGGCGGCAAACCAGTGCCCTTTATGCCCGAGTTTCGCGAATTGATGTGCGCCGTATCGCTCCGCACATTCTGCGGCTATTATATTTCGGACGAAGCTGTGAAGAAAATCTCTGATGACTATTATCTGATCACAGAGGCAATGGAACTGGTCAACTTTCCTATTATTCTGCCTTTCACAAAGGCATGGTACGGTAAGAAGGCGAGTGATATGGTCATGGCCGAGTTTTGCCAGGCCAGTGCGAAGAGCAAGGTCAGTATGGCAGCCGGCAAAGAACCAACTTGCATTATGGACGCGTGGGTCAAAAATATCCTGGCCTCAAAGCAATGGGTTGAAGCAGAAGCCAAGGGAAAGCCAATGGAGGGTATGGAAAAACCATCTCCTCTGCTACGAGACTTCGCCGATTGGGAGATCGCTCAGACAGTGCTCGCATTTTTGTTCGCTTCCCAGGATGCTACCAGCAGCGCAGCCACCTGGCTCTTTCAGACGATGGCACAGCGCCCCGACGTGCTCGATCGAGTGCGTGAGGAAAATTATCAGGTCCGTAACGGTAACGTCCATGCTGAGGTTGACTTGGACCAACTGGAGTCCATGACCTATACCCGTGCAGTCGTCAGGGAGCTTCTGCGGTACCGACCTCCCGTGATCATGGTGCCTTATATGGCGAAGAAGCCGTTCCCAATCACTGACTCCTACACTGTCCCTAAAGGTGAGCTCTATAACACGAGCCATTGACCTTCGCCGGTGCTAACTATTAACAGGAGCGATGGTTATCCCTACCACGTACCTTGCCCTCCGGGACGAGGAGGTATATGAGAACCCTGACGAATTCAATCCCGAGCGTTATTATACCGGGGATGCTGAGGAGAAGGGGAAGAATAACTATCTGGTATTTGGGACTGGTCCACATGTGTGCATTGGACAGCACTATGCGCAGCTCAATCTGGTGCTTCTCATCGGCAAAGCCTCATTGTTGCTGGACTGGAAGCACCACGCAACCCCGCTATCGGAGGAGATCAAGGTCTTCGCAACCATCTTTCCCAAGGTAAGTGAGCAGTGAGCAAGAAGAAGCTGCAAGTACTGATTCCTTACCAGGATGACTGCCCGTTGACTTTCAATAAGAGGAAGTGGTAAGGTAAAGTGGTGGGATAATGGAAAGGGAGGAGGGGCGCTTGCTTACTGCCGTTTGACTCGTTTGTACAGAACTCACAACACTTATATACATACATTAAGTGTCAGCTCAATATTTCGACTGCCTAATCCACAAAATCTGTTTTTTCCAATTTTCATTCTACTGTTCACAGACAATGAAGACGTTGTTGGATTTGTCCCATTTGCCCATATCATTGGCTCCTAGACCGTGCCCAAGAATTGGTACCGTAACACTTGCAATTAACTGCTGCGGGCTTAAACCCCAGACACGTTCAGGATATTCTCAGATCTTCGCTATATAGTCCTTTTATTCAATTTCAATAGCACTCCGTTATGCAAATACCCCAAACTCCCAACAAACGACTAGAATACCAGGCCTCCACCTATCCACCAAAGAAATCTTCGTTAGCTACTATGCCACGACACCTTCCTCATCATATGAATATAATGGAAAGAACATACCATCAACCACAATATCCACCCCATTCAGATAACTCCCTCCAACATCACTACACAAAAGCACCACTGGCCCCGTCAACTCCTGCGGCGACCCCATACGCCGCATGGGATTGCGATCAGCCCACACCGCACGATGACCCGACAGCTGGTCACCCTCATTCAGGACCGTATCCATATATCCAGGCGAGATGGAGTTGACGTGGATGCCATACTGCGCCCATTCAGCCGCTAGGCAGTTTTTCATATGAAGGATACTGGCTTTGGAGATATTGTATGCTAGCTGTGGCTGGGGGTAGTTAACACGGTGGCCGCTGATGGAGGCAATGAAGACGATTTTGCCGCCTGTTTTACGGGAGATCATGTGTCTGGTTCGGAGTCATCATGAGTCCTTTGGAGTGCCAGTCTAAGTGTACTTACCTGGCAACAGTCTGCGCCGTAATCCAGCTTCCTGTTGCGTTTACGTCTTGCATCCTTTTGTAATCCTCTAGGGTCATGTCGATTGACGGGACGCAGTTGACTATCCCTGCGAAGCAGCATAAGATCCTCAGATCGCCTAGACGGTCTATGGCTGATTGGACTGCGGATTGGACTTCTGCTTCGGTGGTCACGTTGCAGGGTATGGTTACGATGTTAGCGTTGGGGAAATCATGCTGTATGGCTGAGATGTGCTCTTTGCTTTTTGTGAGGGATGTGGATAGGTCTAGGAGAGCTAGGCCTTGTAGGCCGTGCTCGAGAAGTGCTCGTGCTGAGGTGAGTGCTAGGGCACCGGCGCCGCCGGTGACTATACATTGTCTTAGTCCATTCCCGATTTTTTTTCTTGATAAGAAAGAAAAGAGAGGAGACGAGATGAATGACATACGGATTGCATTGCCCTTCACTGCGAATCTCTCTCTCGCGTTGTCAGCTGCACTGTTACTCGACGGGAAAGGCGCAGGGGGTGGCGTGTGAGATGACTGAGGGTCAAGCTCTCCTAGTTTCATCCAAGGGATTGCAGGGATATCCGAGTTGGATCCCATAGTGATTATAGTGAAGTTTAATTCTATCTTATAACTAAATGATCAGTGGAGCCCAGGTTTTTGAGTTGAACGACGTCGACTAAAGATGATGAGAGTGGGGTGAATGTTTGAAGTTGGATTTCCAGTATAAATCAAAAAGGCAAATTATGCGCGGTGGTTCTATGGTCGTTTCTTAACCCTTAAGGTGTCTGCTTGAACCTATTGTTTCTCGGCTACCTGTCGGCCGATGGGGTTTGGGGTGGAGTGCGGGCAGATGCACCGGGCTAAGCCCCGAGCGGGATGATTAAATGCGGGGACTCCGGCGGGATGCGGAGGTTGTCCGATTACGTCCGAGAGGGCCACCAATGCAACGCTTCGGTTGTCTGTTGCCCTAGACCTGTTCTGTCTTCTCTTTTCTCGTTGTAATGAACTCAACAGGCTCGCCATGAACAAGTAGGTGCTTGGAATGGAGCGGAGTCCGAAGCAGATGATCAAAAATGGAATCAAAGCGCTACTTTGAATCGAATGCTGTTGGTTGGACGCTTGTGTACTCACTAATCCCAGATAGAAATCATTGGTTCGAGGACTAGGTCGGACCACAGTTACCCGAACAGGTATATCATGATGATTGAGATCAACTCCTGGCTCCTTCTAAAAGAGTGGGGCAACCAGGTTCAAGTTCCAAAGGACCAGTAAGTGTTGGTGCAACCCCGCCATCTCTGGTCGCGTGAAGTTGAAAGAAGAGAAGAGAAGCAGCAACCATCAAGGTAGATAGCGTTCCAAGGAAAAATACCATAAAAGGGTACGGAGTACCTTCCAGTCTTATAAGTGTCAAGCTTCATCTTTTGATACCCCCGCTTGGACCACTCTTGTATTCTTTACATTTGCTGCCGTTGTTTAACTATCACCTCTGTTCAACATGTCTATGAGCGTAGCCGAGTGTGCCCCAGTCCGTGATGGATACCCTCGCCCGTTCCCAAACACACCAACAAATGTATTGGCGCAGATGCGTCTGAGCGGAAAGGTTGTCGTGATCACAGGAGCTGCAGATGGCATCGGCTACGCAGTGGCTGAAGCCATGGCTGAGGCTAATGCCGATATTGCCATGTGGTACAACTCGTAGGCTATGCCTTTTCTAGCATCGGACAAGATTCCACATCTAACAAAGTCACGATAGCAATGATGCAGCCGTCGGGAAAGCGCAGGCACTGGCTTCTGCTCATGGGATTAGAGCTGCTGCTTACAAGGTCGACGGTGGGCATTACCTGTCATTCGTTTTCAAAGACTTAGAATGCTGATTAGCCCAGTTTCGGATGCGGATGCCGTTCAACAAGCGATTGCAGATGTCGCGAAAGACTTTGGCAAAATTGATGTGTTTATCGCAAACGCCGGTAGGGTTCAGATTTTGTCGCACAGGGCAATCAATCCGCTAATATACTAAATAGGAATGGCTATTTCCAAGCCTCTCCTGGAGCAAACACTGGAAGAATATCGGAAGCAGATGTCGGTGAACGGTAAGATGCTTCCTCCTTTGCTGTAAACTCGGTGCTAATGACGGCATACAGTGGATGGCGTTCTCTACTGCGCCAAATATGTTGGAGAGGTATTCAAACAACAAGGCTTCGGTAACCTGATCATCACCTCTAGCATGAGTGGCCACATTGTCAATGTCCCCGTTGATCAACCTGTCTACAATGGCAGCAAGGCCTTCGTGACGCACTTGGGAAAATCACTTGCTCGCGAGTGGAGAGAGTTCGCCCGTGTTAACATTGTCTCTCCTGGCTTTTTCGATACCAAGATGGGTGCCAGTCCGCAAACGGTCAACGAAGCCTATCGGATGGCGCCGCTTGGGAGGCAGGGCCATGTGAAGGAGATCAAGGGATTGTATCTGTATCTCGCCAGCGACGCGTCTACATTCATGACGGGCAGTGATGTCCTCATTGACGGTGGTTACGTGCTACCATGAGTCAAATATGCTTCCACTTTGTTGCTGATAGTATTGATAGTTTGTTTACTTATCAAGCTGGATTCCATGTGATAGACTACTAGTTATAGCTGGTGCTCCACAATGTTTGATATATTAGTAGAGAAATATATTTCGGCTGGACCTTTACTTACTACTGCTAGTTTCGAATGGCAGAAGGACGTCGGATTGCATTCAAGTCCTTTAAACCACACTATAGGCTCCACTAAAGTTTTTAGAATTTTTTAGAATAATTCACCAACCTACTTTTGGAAACAAATGTCGTTTCTAAACAGACGAAACAGAAGACAAAAAGAGAACTCGTCGGCCGTCTGTGCATAAAATGTTATGATGACTAACACAGCACTAGTAGGTGGATAATGTGTGGGCACGTGCATTGAACGTCATTGGGCCCAAAGCGGCAAGGCGGCGCAAATCTCGGTGATTATCAATGATTAATTCTGCTTCGGCGCTGAGGGGCAACAATTGAAGACTCATCCCGACTCTTCCACCTTTCCCTATCTCATTTACCTTCACTCGCTCGTGTGGATTAGTCTCTTTCATCCATACTTGAATCTACAAGTGTCAACTGGGATAGTCACTTGTTCTCCGATACCCAGCGGTCGCAGCATTTGAGATTGTGCCCCGCTTCGTCCATCCCACAATCATATAACGACCTCTACACGACATTTTCTTTCATCGTGATACCCCTGCGTTGTTTCGCCGATTTTATTCAAGATGGACGGTCCTGCATCTTCCCTCCCCTACACCTGCAACACTTGCCTTGTTGCTTTCCGCGGCAGCGATGCGCAGCGGGTGCACATGCGCACTGACTGGCAGTAAGTTTCTTCATATTACCACTGGTTTAGTCTGCAGGAGCTGATCCCATCTGTACTAGCTTGTATAACATGAAGCGTCGTATCGCCTCCCTTCCCCCCGTGTCCCAGGAAACCTTCAACGAAAAGGTCCTTGCCGCCAAAGCCACCACTACTGCCGCTGCCGCCAAGGCATCCTTCGAGACGACCTGCGTCGCTTGCCAGAAGACCTTCTACAGCGAGAACTCCTACCAGAACCATATCAAGAGCTCTAAGCACAAGGCCCGCGAGGCCCGCATGAGCCGGGAAAATGCCGACGAGTCGTCCTCCGTCATGAGCTCCACCTTCTCCCTGGGAGAACCCATCAACAAGCCCCGCGTCGGAGAGTCCGAGGTTAACAAGGTCGCCGAGACCCTCAAGGATGCTACCATCAAGGAAGAGAGCAATGAAGACGAGGAGATGTCTGATGATGGGTTCTTTGCCTCTCGTTGTCTCTTCTGTCTGCAGAAGTCGGACAATGTTGAAGAAAACACCGAGCACATGTTCAAGACCCACGGCATGTTCATTCCCGAGAAGGACTACCTCGTTGACATTGAGGGTCTTCTCCACTACCTGTGGCGCAAGATCAACGAGAACAGCGAATGCACCTACTGCCATATGATCCGCAACACCCCCGAAGGCATCCGCACGCACATGAAGGACAAGGGCCACTGCATGATCGCTTTCGAGTCTGAGGCCGAGCAGATCGAGATTGGCCAGTACTACGATTTCCGCAGCACCTACTCAGACGACGAAGAGTGGGAGTCCACCGGCAGCGAGACACATGAGGAAGGAGGCGTCAAGGTTGACGGCGAAGACGAGGGATGGGAGACAGACGCCTCATCCATGGACGAGGACGAGGATGACCTCGACAACCGCAAGCGCGCTCCCGTCGTCTACGCCACCGACTATGAGCTGCATCTGCCCTCAGGTCGCAGCGTCGGTCACCGCTCTCTCGCCAAATACTACCGCCAGAACCTGCACAACTACCCCACCGCAGAGGAGCGTGCCGAGCGCCAACTTGCCATCGAGAACGGCGAGATCGAGGAAGAGGAGCCGAAGCCTCGTGGCCGCAACCTCAACCGTGCGCTTATCACCCGTGCCAATGGTGGTACTGGTATGATTGGAACGACGGATTCCCAGAAGAGGGACGTGATGATCAGCGAGCGCAAGGAACGCCAGAGAGCCATGCGACAAGAGCAGCGCTTCACGGCACGGGTCAACCGGCAAGCCAACCACCAGAAACACTTCAGAGTAAGCTTACCACCTAAGACTGTTTTGATTTTCATACTAACCAGATGGTATAGGATCCTCTCCTGCAATGATCTCATACATTTCGTCTTCTTGCATCGTATGTTGATGAGTCTATGAATTATTTCAGGCTATTTGTTTCTTGGGTTTAGTTTCTGCATTGCCGTGCTGCTGGCATCGTCTTGTTTATGGAGTTGTGGTTGGGTCCATGCACATGCTTTATGATAAAAGTAGGGTGAATAAATAGAGATGATTCTGGATATACTAGGCCCTAGTAGATTACTACGTACTAGCGAATCCCCATCAGGTAAAACCAACAGCCAGTTTACGAAAAGCCTGAAGAATAACAATCAACAAAGGATGTTAAATCGAGTAAATAAACAGAGAAAAAAAAATCAAAACAAAAAAGAAATTGCTGTGCATCATCCGTGAATCGAACACGGGCCTCATCGATGGCAACGATGAATTCTACCACTAGACCAATGATGCTAGTTGATATATTATGCCGCATTCTATGCACATATCAGTGGTCGAAGAGAGAAATATTGAACCCAACCAGTCCTCGATAGCTATACATACTTCACAATATTCCATGTGAGAAAGAAACATTTATATTGAACATCCAGACTAGATCTGCTCTACTAACTGTGATTGCCAGCAATTTTTGATCCTAGTCCACGTCTTACAGACTATTATATTGAGTACCAATCCAATAGCAGCATCGAACCCCCCCCGTACAATAACCATCAAGCAAATGATCCCGCATTCTTTTCAACACCCCTCCTCTCTCTCTCCTTCTTATTTTCTTTGGCAGATGTTTCATTTCTGGGTGGTATTACCTACGTGTAGTATATCATACCGATAATAAAAAGTAAGAGACCTGGTTAGAGGTGTGGATGAGATCAAAAGAGGGGGAGGATAATTGATTTGCAAGGAAGAAAGCAAGCCTCGATGCATGAAATCCCTGAATTGGAAATTGTTATCATCCCTAGGGAATCAAGGAAGATTTGGCTATATTACATAGTATTATCCATCATCATGTGGTCTTGATCTTGCATGGTCTCTGACTTGGGGAATTATTATGAATACTATGATGGGTCTACAGTTTGTGTTCTAGATTTACTATTATTTCCCGGGGGTACAGTCGGCATTCTACATCAGAGAATACTTGAAAGCATGGCTAGGATGCTGGAAGGCGGATTATCACCCAGTCTTGAGATGAGATGCTGGACGGATAGTGGTTCCTCCATCATCTGTAAAAGCAAGTAGGGGCAAGATAGGGTCGGTGTTACATTGTATGCAAGGACCTATCAGGAGAATGCCATTTCCTTAAAGATACTACTGAACACAGATCTCATCTACACCGCCAGACCCCTCAATGCAACGACAAGTGTCAAGCGACCAGGTATTGGCACGCAGGGTCGGCTATGCATGGAAAATGAATATATGGTGGAAAGGAAAGAAATACATCGGTTCCTCGGGAGCATGTGCATCACACACGACTAGCTGTTCGGTCGTATTTGTGTACAGGGTAAATTTTTGCAACGTAACAACAACAACTATCCACATGTCGCCCTGTCGCTCTGGCCAGCAGAACACTCGGAGCGTCCGAAATTATCTTGGTTATTGCGACAGTAGAGGGGTATTTTCGCCCGACTCCCCGTTCTTCGGGCCTTGTCCGCGCTTTCTGCGACGACGGCGTTTCTTACTTCCGGCGGACTGATTATTCCCCAGGTCGACGATCTCGCCTTCCTGGCGGACAGGGAACTCCGAATTTTCGCTCGTTCTCGGTCGTTCAGATTCAGATGAGCTGGTGCTTGTGGTATGGAGTACAACCTTGCGGATGCCGTTGACATCGACCACCTGCTCTGTGATGCTACCACTCCGAGCCGGGCCTCGGTGAAGGTAACTGCCCGGCTTGAGATGCTCGGATTGCGAGTCGATGGACCGGGCACTGCCGGTTCGACTGCCCGCTGACCGAGGGTGATCATCCTGTTCTTCATGGACCGGTTCGGGTATCGATATCGGGAGACCATCCTTCGTCTGAGTACCGGCATCGGCCGGCGGATTGGAGTGGCTCATCGTGCCATATCCCGCACGGACCGCATACACTCCATCACGGGCATCCATACCACTCTGTACAAGTCCGGCGCCGATACCGCCCTGCAGGCCGATGGAATTATGTCTAGGTTGTACATCGGACATACTCTGGCTGGATTCAAGATCGGTCTGTCCGGATCGGGATGGCGAGGCACTCCGTTTGATCTTCACATTTTGGTATCGAGTTTGGCGCGGTCGGCTGGCCAAGTTTGATGGGCCCAGGTGCTTCAAATGCTGTCTGATCTCATCCGTGGCCCCGCGATGCGTGAACAAGCCGTCTGTCGAGTCTGAGTTCTTATCTGAGGTGGGCCGACGGAGCTGGAACCGAGGCAAAGGTGCTTCTACGGAAAGCCGGCGATGGTCTTTCGGGGCCCCATTGGGTGGAGCAGGGGACTCGTTGTCCACATCGACTAGAGTGGTCTCAGCCGGAAGCATGGGAGGGTCCTCCACAATCCGGCCCTTGGGAACGCGGGACTTGGGAGCAGGAGCCATGCGGCGGATGGCCTTGTGCACATCCACGAAGACATCTGACTCGTCGATGATCTCCCTACAAAGTGTCAGCATTGTTCGGTCCTTTTTGAGGCTTGGTCTGGTACGTACTCTCCGATGAGCTCCTCAATCACATCTTCCAGGGTGACCACACCCAAAGCGCCACGATCCTCACTCGGATACTCCGACACCAATACCATGTGGGACTTGCCCTCTTGGAAGAAGTTGACGATATCCAGACAGCTTGTCTCCGGGCGGGTCTCGGGTAGCGTGGCCAGAGCAAAGTCCCGCACGCGCTTGCAATCTTCGGGGTCATAGGTGATCAACATTTTAACCAACAGCATGCCGACGAAGTTCATCGGGTTGTCCGGAGCGTGAATAGGAATACGAGAGTATCCTTGCGACAGAATCAAGTCCATGGTGTTTTCGTCTAGGACGGTGTCGGCGGACATGGTGAAGACGTCTTCCATTGGGGTCATGATGCTGCCCACTGCCTTGTCCTTGAGGTCAAGAACAGCGCTGATGATGGTGACTTCATCGGAGTTGAGCTGTTCACCGGCTTCACCCAAGGTTTTGTGCAGCGTCACCAGGGTCTTGAGACCGGCCTTCTTGTAGATGGTGCCGTGATCCTCACCCAACAGCTTATCGAGCAGCTTCGCGACCGGGTAGGCGACGGGAGACATGAGGTACATGAGCGCTAGGACACATGGAGCCATCCAAGCACCAATGGGGAGACCGTAACGGACACATATCGACTGGGGGACGATTTCGCCGAAAATGACTAGACGCGACAGAGGGAATTATGGTAAGCAAGGATGCGAAGGCCAAGAAGAGGGATTTTTCGGACATACCAATCAAGACGGTACTGCCGAGCACCGCAGGCCAGCCACCGCCAAGTGAGCGGTCGAGCACGATTGGAAGCGTCTCGTTGGTGATGACATTGCTGAGCAGCAGGGTGACGAGGACCCAGTGCTTTCCTCGCTGCAACAGCTTCAGGACACTTGCGGCATTTTTGCGTTCGGAGCCTTCACCGGAGGTCTGAATGACTTGTAGGTAGACTTCGTCCTGTTTGGGTGAGAAGGGAGGTCATTAGCGTCATTGCACAGGAACATGAAAAAAGTTCTGAGTGTGAGATTGGAGTTACCTGTCCCATCAAGGCGATGGTCAGTCCAGCGAAGGCACCGCCGCTGAGAACGAGGGCGGCGGCAACACCTAGGTACAGCCATAGACTAGGGTCACTGGGGGGTTTCGGGTCGACATCGGAGTTGATGATAAAAGTTGGGGCGGCGGAGATGACGGGCAGGTTGGCAACAGCCAAGAAGCAGAGCTTTGCTAAACCAAGGACGAGAGGCCGGGCGGCCAGGATACGTGTGGCAGAGGATATAGCCATCACCGAAGGGCAATGGAAGGAAGGTGGTCAAAAAGAAAGAAAAGACAAGAAAGGCCCGCAGGCTACCAGAGGGGCATATTTGAGGAAAGACGACAAGAGAGAGAGAGAAAGGGTACGTACGAATTGGGGGGGCGGCTAAGCTGAATTGGGGGCGGGTAAGCAGAAAGATGGATGGAAACGACGAAGTGGTAACCACTCCGAGTAAAGGTTCTGCTGCTGCTGCTGCTGCTGCTTTGCTTAGTAGTGGCTGGCGGCGTAATCGGAACAATTGATCAGTGCGGGTGGGTGTCTGGCCACTACGTGACGTCGCCTACTTTTAGCACTTACATTAGTACGTAAGTACGTAGGTACTAGTGCTATGTCCTCCACTAAATCCTTCCTTCATTATATCATTCTTCTTACTGGCTTATACATGTTTTATTTCCCTCAAGCAGGAGGATGGTGGAGGGTTCTCTAATTGATTGATAGGTGATGTCAAATAACTCACAATTCCAGCGTGATTATTATCCTCCCATCGATTTGAGTCTGAAGCGCAATCATCAGAGATAGCACTGGTCACTAGACATACACACGTCTGACAAGTCCACACCCGCTTCTAAGTACTACTTCTGAGCAGTACGGAGTAACTATTTCAAGGGCTCCATCATTCCTGCGACTGCGAAGGTCCTCGTCTTCCCGCCTCCCGACGGACGATCCCGGAGGCCCCCATAGGGCGCTTCCCGATGTCCAATGAGACCGTCTGTTGATTGCTGAGGTAAGTGATGAGTCATTCTACCGAATGATTCTAGACTACTGTAACTAGTAAGGTAGGTGACTCGAATAACTACGAAAGTAAATCGGTAGTAGTCATGAAGGCATCGATGTGGTCGAGTGGTATTCTTCTAGCAGATATTGAATATATGCTCTGGACTAAAATTTCCATTTTCAGCTACATACATGGAGGTCTAGTACTACTAATTCTACAGCGGACTATTTCAGAATTATAGATAGACCCAGAAGCAGGAAAGAGGTATTCTTCAAAAAGCTACAGAATAGAGTCCTTGTTCATAATTTTCTTTCTTGCTGTCACTACACTAGCAAGTGCATCTAGAAATAAAATTGCCACCAAGTATTTTCTGTGCTGCTAGCTTTTTCTATAGACTTCGACAGCTTGCTTGACTTGAAGATGTGATTAGTGACTTTCTTTGACGATTTGCGTAACAATGTACTAGTAGTACTGCCTTGTCCTAACAGAATAGATAGATAAGTACACGCCGATCTCAATGACCACGCTGAATAGTTGGTTAGTCAGAGTAGGCTCTGACATGATCGGCAACAATCAAAGCAGAGAATAAGAGGAATTATTACTATTACATCGAGATGAGTACTGAAATTCTATCAACAGAACTGGAGTAGCAAGAACTGAATCCCAAGATGGTATTACTATATTCTCTGCGCTCTGAAAACCGATTAGCGTGTCATTTGCGTAGTTGTCTCGATACAGAATTCCACTGATGTCCCCTGGCTTATCCTCGAATAGCACTTACATGGACCTCTATCAGTCCCCCAAAGATAGGACTACCGTAGAGTTGAACTCAGCTATCGCGCTTCATAAAGTTCAGCAGGATACTGTACCACTGATTTTCATCGTAACTACGAAGCATACCCTATCCTATCTTCACTTTTGCTGCCGGAGATTGCTGTAAGCTTGCACTCGCCACTTCACCCAAGATAGGCCATAGGCTAGTGAAGTGCACGCCAGACCCAAAGGTGAAGGCGTCTCCGTGAAAGTTGCCGAAATGACTTTTTGCGCGGTACTTCCCATTATTCGTGTTGAATTCCCGCGTGTAGTCCCGTCATTGCCCATGACGGGTGGGAACTTCCTGAACCCTCCACGGCATTTCCCATATGCGTAGACTCGTAGACTGACCATGATGCAGCGGAATATAGCTTTTAACTACCTACCTTTTAATGGAGAGATCCCAGACTTACCTGCAGCGCCATGGCTATATAATCTGGCGCATCTGTTCTCTCTTCTCTCCCACTTCAATCCAATTCTCTTCTCTCTTTCAAACCGTCACTCATTTCTCCCCCCTGTATTGTGGTGGTAAAGCCTGCCATTCACCTTCAGTAACGAAGCTGCTGACCTAGTCACCGTAGTTAACACTCACTGCCAACAGCTTCATTCACTGGACGGTCAGTCTCCTGCCCCCCCAGGACTCTCTCTGGCCCGCCCACCATGTCTTCCCCTTCCCCCTCCTCTTCTTCCCTTCTTCCTCTTCCTCTTCCTCCTTCAACGAACTTTACCAAAATCCGATTCTCCTTAACTTCGTTGACACTCACAGTGTTTAGCAAAGCTTATCGCGAAATCATCTTCTTCGTATCTTCGTTAACATCTTCCTGTGCTTGTTCCAAAGTACAAACCGCTTTACCAAGCTTCACTTCAAGGTTTGAGCTCCAGACCTACTACCGTTAGAATCTCGTAAACAACAAACTCACGCTGTACAGCATGTTCAACATGATGTCTCCTACGGAACAAGTCCTCCTGTACGGAAGAACCCTGAACCCGGAGTACGAGTCATTAGACATGCTCGACTTGACTGCAGGACTGGACACCGTCTTTGCAGCTCTAATCTTCTTCTTCTTCGTCGCCGTAAACTGGAACACCTTCACCTCTGGCATCTCGTTCGGAGCCAAGCTGCTTGCAGCTGTTTTCTCTCCCCTCGAATTTCTCGTCGCGTGCGTTGACGCGTTCAAGAGAAGGATGGTCCAGAGCCAGATGGGTCGTCGCCTTTCCGACCTCCGTAACTGGTATTTCCCTGCCCGTCGTCCCATCGCCATGATCTCGCGGGTTTATGTCACAATCGTCACTTTGATGTGGACGAGTCAAGATCTTCTGACGCCCGGCTACCATGTCTTGTATGGCATGGCTGATGGTATGGGACCCGCAGGCTGGGACTACTGGGAGTACTGCCTGAACCTGGATCGTGGTTCTCCGGCAGGCCGGTGGTCCAGCAGTCGGCGGCTCCAGGGATTCCATTGTGACGGAGTCGACCTCGGCGTGGAGTTGTTCTCTGTCTGGGAAGACTACATCCCAACGTTCAGCGTTGGAGATGATATTGAACACCTCCAGATTTTCCGTTTCGTCTGTTTCGTTTTGGCCCTCGCCAGCATTCTTGCCGCGGCTGTTATCGCGATCCGTCATTCTTCTCCTGTCAAGGCCATTGAGACGCTTTGCAGCTGGACACGTTCGGTGTCAAAGAACGGTCCTGAAGATGAGGCACAGCACCAAGATACAGCATTGATCGAGCAAGTTGAACTTCTTTCGGCCAAGATTGGCACTTACGAAGCAATGTTGGATGAGGTACGAGGCCAGCTGGCCGCCAAAACCGAGCAGGCGAACGGAATGGAGGTGCGCTTTGACGAACTCCGGTCGAAAAATCAGATGCTGGTTGCACGTTGCGAAGAGGACAAGGTTGCCCAGCAAGAGAGTCTGATCACCAGTCTTCGTCAAGAGCTAGAACGGGTCAACTGTCGCCTCATAATGGCTAACGGAAGAGCGCGGGGGGCGCAGTACAAGTCTGACTCACGGGAGCAGACTCTCACCAACCGCGTCGCCGAGCTAGAGGAGCAGCTGGCTCGCAAGAATGATGAAGCGAATGCCAACTCTCGCGGCATTATTGAATCGCTTCAAGCAGAACTCCAGATTCGGACCGATGAGTTTAACGCCATGGCGCGCCGTCTAGAAGCCGTTGAAGCGCAGGCCGAAAGGATCTGCGACAGTGAAAAGCTCCGTGTGACAAAGGAGGAGGGTCTGCGCAAGGATGCAGATATCCGTAGACTCCAGAAACTACTTCAGGTTCAGGAGGAGCAGTCTTACGAGCGGGCGAGGGAACTTATCGCCACCGAAGACTTGCTTTCCAGGCAAGAAGTTGTGATCCAGGACCTGGGCGCAAGAATTCGGGCTCACGAGGCAGCACCCCAGGTGCAGGCCACGGAGCCTAACGCCGCAGAGATCCGTGACCTGGAAAGAAAACTTCAAATTTCCGAGGCACAGTGTCACATGCAAGCAGCACAACTCGGAAGCGCGGAAGTACAAGTGAATGCCCTGCAGGCCAAGCTCGGAGAGTACTCCCACTTGCTGGAGGCAGAGGGTCGCGCAAAGCAAGAAATCGACTTCTGGTCGCAACAGTACGACACACTCTTTGCCGAGCATTTCGACCTTAATGGACAGCATAAGAACCTTTTTGAACAGCATGAGAAGCTGAAGAGTGCGTTCAAAGGGGACGAAGCTGCCCAGGAAATCCTGGGGCTGCGGGCCGAGATCGAGTCTCTTAAATCCGCGTTGGATGGGAACAGCGCGGTCCAGGAGGCCCTGAATCTCCGGGTGGAGGTCAACGCGGTGAAGGCGGTCGCCGAAGAGAAGGTGAGGGAAGCCGAGGCGAAGGCGACAGAAGCCGAGCAGAAGATGATGGAGGCTGAGGGGGTCGCGAATTCTCTCCGGCAAGCCGACGAAGGGCATCGCAAGACCATGAAAAGCCTCAAAGACGCCTACGATAAGGAGGTGGAGAGATTCGATGACGAGGTCGCGGCGGCACGTGCGGCTGCCGACGAGGCTCGGAAGCAGGTGAAGGGCCTGGAGGAGGAACTCAAGGAGATGTCGCGGCAAGTCGGCATCGCCTCCAGGGATGCTCAGCGTTTCCGGGAGCAGAAGGAGGGCACCGAGGCGGAGAGGGACAAGCTCACGGGCGTCAATGACGTCCTTGAGCACCGTCTGAAGTTTTGGGAGAACAGCGAGAGTATGCAAACGATCCCCAAGCGCCGTACGGGCGACTTGGGGTCTCTTGCAACGGCTCTGGACGAGGCCAGGGTCGAAATCTCCAGGCAGCAGACCGAAATCAACGATCTGCGTGCCAAACTCCAAGCTCAGACGGAGTCCGCCGCCTCAGCCGCTTCTGCTCCCTCCGACCAGGCCCTTCAAGACAGCGTCAACCGTTTGCGACATGCCTTGGAGGTCGAGAAAAGACAGCGAACCGAGGACCAGGTTCGCTGGGGCCGGCAGGTCCAAGACTTGCAGCAGGAAAACCAGCGGCTGCAGGTTTCCATCTCCAGCGCCGGCCTGGGTCGCGGCCGCGGTCGTGGTCGAGGCCGAGGCGGTTGATGCTGTCGCCTGTCTTCGGGGCCTTGAAGCCCCATCATCTTCGATTCGGCTTCCCTGGTGTGAGAGTGTGAGTGAGTGAGTGAGTGAGTGAGGAGGGGGAGAGTGAGAAAGATACTAATGACAATTGAACTCAGAAGGACACTCAGACTTGCGACCGGCCTCGCCAGGATTTCGGTATGAAACCTCGGGATACTGGCAGCCTGCTATATAGTACAGGCTAGTTCTACTACTACTACTCAACAGGCAGCGCAATGATCGAATGTCAATCATCATCGGTAGGGACACAAGAAACGATCGACAATCCAGAATATGGGAATAAGGCAGAGCAATTGAAAGTCTAAACCGGGTGGAGATGTTCGTGAGATGGCCACTCCGTATAGAGGGAGTGAGTTGTCGATAATCAATCAGTCACAGTGGAAGCGAAAGGTGTGGATCACGGCGTCGGTCGGGGAAAAGGTCCGTGACTGATAACGGATTCCCTTCCCTATTCATCATCTTCAACTTCATCCCACAAGAACCATAAATTCAACGGCCGGCTGGCATTAATTTGGGGGCACCTGCGTGCGGGAGAGGATCCTATCAGATCCACGCTGCGAGTAAGTACTTATCCCTCTTGGATGATGGCCAATGAATTGGGAAATTGATCCGAACTAACACTCAATAGTGGCCAGTAGTTCTCAACAAGCGCCGCGCTGTTTCATTCCCTCCCTTCCCTGCGTGTTTCACCTTGGGCCACCAAACCATGGGCGACCCCGTTCTTCATTCCACCATTTCCACCAATTGCTCCACATTCTTCCATGCAAGCCCCCTCCATTATCATACAATCCCGCCAACTCTCTTTTTTTCTCGCGTGGATTGCTCGGCTTCTGACCCTCAAGGGGTTCGCCTGTTCCCTGTGAACTGTCGTTCGTTTCTACTCCAAATTACCTCGTCTTTCCTTATTCCCATCGTGGCCGATATTTCGTCTCTTCCTCTGTCTCTCTCTCTCTCTCTCTCCCCCCCTCTCCCCCGTGCTTATCAGCAATTGCGATCAGTGTTGCAACCGCAGCAGCACGCGCCAGGACCCCCCTTCCCCTATCTTGGCACGTTCGCCCTACCCACTGAAGCTAGCCGCCAACGTCGCAGTTCAAGCGTCACCATAATCTTTTACAACACTTCAATGGCTATTCAGAATGGGTCCGCAGTGATTGACGGGTCGCTCGTTTGACCTCGGACTCCAGCAATCTCTCAGCGGTTATGCGCGATTGTTGTCGATAGTCGCTGGCCGTACTGCTGACGCTTTCCTCTCTTTCCTTGGCGCAGTCTCGTACATAACAAATTCGAGATCCTGGCTTCCTCTCACTCTCACACTACACACACTCTCTTTGACCTTCGCTCTCGTTGCGACCTCGACTTCGCCCGGCTGGACCGACGAAGCATCACTCTTTTCCCGTTGAGACCGTCTCCCTTCACCTTCTTTTATCTCATTGTGTACTGGCGACACCGGATTGGTTATCGGCATGTTTTGTTCTGGAGACAGGGAGAAAGGGCCCGTGGCCTTGGAGGAACAGTGGGATTACATTGTAAGCTCAATTTCTGAGTTGGTCCTCCTATGGAAATGCCGCTGACGCTGACTGTTTACAGAACCTCGATGACTTCAAATCAGAGTCCTGTCTATCCCCGTTCTCATACTTCTTTCTCTACGTCTTCCTTCTTATCTCCATAGCCGTGTACGGAGTCGACACCTTTACCGCCGTCAATCTTCTTGCTTTCTCACGATGGGCGGGCCAAATTGAGCCTGCGATTCCTTTCAAAATATCGCGATGGATCTTCGCCGTTTGCATCATCATCTCTTTCGCCCTCTTGATCTACCGATGGTTGCGCGCCATTCGTGCAATCCGCTCCGGGAGTATCGCTCAGAGCTACCTCGACTCTCTCGCTGTGCGCGTTCAAAGTATTCGAATGGGAAGCAACGGTCGCGGTTGGAGGCGATTCCTCGTGTTCGGCGAGTTAACCAAAAGTAAGAAGGGCGCTGAATACGTCGCCCTCTTCGCATACTTTGCTTTTGAATGTAAGTTCACCACCGCCCTTCTTGCAAACACATGTTGACCTATCTAGCTTGGCTGAGCACTCTTTTTGCCGACGGCCCACGACAAGTCGTTAACGCTATTACCCTATACTCAGTGATGCAAATGGACCTTCTTCCCGGAGGCAGCAACACCACCGACGAGGGCGGGTCCGGAGCTTCGCAATTCTTTGACAACATAAAGGTGCTGGCCGAGGATAACACCGAACGTGCGGTTGTCCTGATCGGAATGCTATTCACCCTGGTCATATGGGTCTTGTCAATGCTCAAATTGATCCTGGCTGTCGTACTCTACCTTATCTTTCTCTTCCACCATATCCCTTCGGAGGATGGGTCATTGAAGGCTTATTGCAAACGGAAAATCAACAGCCGGCTGACTCGTATTGTCCGGAGGAAAGTCAACAAAGCTTTGGCTAAAGGCGTGGCCTTGCAAGATCGAAAACCGACCAATCCAAACATGGGTCTAGACAAACGGCCTACTCTTCCCTCACTGGGTGCTGGCGATGATGACAAGACACCTGTTGTCACCACGATCTCGCGCACTACCACACAAACCACTCTCCCGGCTTACTCTTCACGTCCTGGGACAGCTGCTCCGGATCGCAATCCCACCTTGCCAGATGTTGGCGCATTCAATGACAAACCTGGATTGAGCCGAACAGTGACCGAATCTTCAGCATACTCTGATGCGGCTTCGTTGTCAGGAAGCACCGCGGTGTCAGCATACAGCCCACTGGATCGGCATGGTACGCCGGCGCCACCAGTGCCACCAGTGCCACCACTTCCGAAGCACGGCCCTGCCCCGATGCCACGCTCCCAGACTCCAAGGATGCCACAGAATTTCAACCAAGCGCCTGCGCAACCGGGATACAATAGTCCAATGGAGCGGTCATCACCGGCGCCATCTATGCCGCGCACCCAGACACCGATGTCACGTTCAGGCTTCACCCCAGCGCCTCGTCTGCCCGGTCAGCAGCCGGGGCCCGTACCGCGTTTGCAGACTCCAGTATCGCGGCAAGGGTTTACACCCACACCTCCAGCCCCTGGATACGGCCCGATTGACAGGGCGTCGCCAGCGCCACAAATGCCACGAACACAAACACCCGTTTCAAACTACACCTCAGGCCCCGGGTACAGCCAGGTTGACCATGCCTCGCCGGCACCGCAAGTTTTTCGCAACCAAACACCCGTGTCACGTTCCAATGTTACACCAGCTCCTGGATATGGCCCAAACGTCCCCGGAACACGAGGTCCAGGCGAAGGGTACAGGCCATTTGAAACATACCAACCTCAACACGATCCTTATGGTCCTCCATCTCGCACTCCTTTCCGTCCATACAGTCCGGCAGTTGATCCAAACACTCGTTCTCTAACTCCCGCGTCTGCCTTCCCTGGTGAAAGAGCAGCAGCCCGAACATTCTCACCCTTCAACCAGCCAGACGCAGCCCCCTATCCAGCTCAAGAAAACGAATACCCGCCACGGTCGTTCAGTCCTGCTACTTCTAATGGCCTTCGCTCTCAAGCCGCTGCCCCCGCCGACGCACTGGGCAGGACGTTCTCACCAGTCAATGCAGCCAATGGAGACGGCTATGTGGCGTTTAGTCCTGTAGCCAATGCGTCACCCTCGCCTTTTGCTAGCCACGCCATTTCCGCGCACGATGGATACAGCCATGAATCCAGCTATGATTATCCTGAACCTCGGGACTATGACATGCCACACAGCTCCTATAACTCACATGAAGAGCCTGAGAGTGGTTATGTGGCGTTCAGTCCTGCAGCCAATGCGCCGCGCTCGCCCTTTGCTAGCGACGCTATCTCGGCACACCACGAAGCCAACCATGAACATCTAGATCACTTGGACCATACCATGCCACATGACTATAGCTCGCACGAAGAGCCTGAGAGTGGCTATGCTGCATTCAATCCCGCTGCTAAATCATCGTCCTCCGACTTAAACCATGCTTCTCCGTTCGAAGATCATGACGCATCACATATCGATGCCGCCCATGAGTCCACAGGAAGATCAAATTCGGAGTCCCACGAAACGTCGCAACAGAATCATAATTATGTTGCTTACACACCTTCGGCTGGAAATGAGTCCCCTCTCGAGGAACATGCTGAGACGCATGAGAACGTCGAAATGCATACCGGCGCTGATGTGGCGGACAACTCGTACGACCACCGTGTGTCGAATGAATCGCATGATGTGCTACAGTCCCACTACAACCATGAAAATCCTACCACTTCGTCCAGGATTTCGTCCGAGTCCAATATCTCTTCAGAAGGACACCACGAACAAGCGACTGCAGAGCAGATGCATGGATTAGAGGTCAGGCCTGTTTCTCCGCTGACCTTGGGCGACTTAACGCATGCCAATGATGGCTATGCAACTTTCAATCCCTCCGTTACCTCGCCTGCGCGAACCGAGACCGAACATAGACCCTCAAATTACCACACGCAAACAAGTGCGACTGTCGAGAACCCATTTGAGGACTCCGACCGCCACGAAACAAGACCCTCTGAAGGGTACAGGGCCTTTAGTCCTTCCGTGAGATCACCTGCTACACCCACACTCCCAAACATCGCGCCATATGAACATCATGGCCAATCGCCAGCAAGAACAATGTCCCCTCAAGGCGAGACATCGCACATGAAGCCATATCGGCCGGATTACATTTAAAATCATTCTCTTCTTTCGTTTACTAGCTGGACTTTCTCATGATACTAGGAGAGCTGGCTGTACTTTCTGTTACGATTGCATTCTACCAAGGAGCAAAAGCTCACGAGTTGTTAAATACCCTTTGTTTTCCCCCAATCTTCATGTTCTTAACGTTTTGTATCTCCAATTGGGTACTCTAATCAGAGACAACCTAGGAGATTTTTCCTTCAAGCCTATGGCTGATTAAATTTGTACATACCCAGATGAGTTATCTCG